CCTCCTTCGCCTCCACCACCATCTCCATCTCCATCTCCATCTCCATCTTTATCTTTTCTTTTCTTTTTCCTTTTGCTCCTTCCCTTCTTTTATTTTTGTGTTCTTTTCTATTCATTGTAGCTAAATGCTTCTCTTTTAACCTACTCTTTCGTTTTCTTTCTTCTTCATTAATTGCGTGTCTATTTTTTTTATTTATTTTCTCTTCTTTAATTGCCTGCTTCATTCGCGTAACGATAAACTCAAATTGATGTCCATTGATTTGGTTGACGATGCATAACTGTAGAAATACAATACGTAAAGGAATAAAAAAAAAAAATAAATAAATAAAAAAAAAATAAAAATAAACAAAGATGATAAACGAATGGACGATCAAATGCTAAGACATGTGCCTAGCCTGCTTACTTTTACTTTCTGAATTGAAAAATACGTTCAAGAACTCGGTATGGAATGGAATGGGAAATGAAAAGAAAAAAGAAAAAAAAAAAAAAAAAAAAAAAGTAAATAGAAATAAAGAAAAAAAAAGTAAATAAAAAAAAAAAAAAAAAATTAAGAGAGTAGAGATTCAATCGAATCGAATCAAATCAATCAGTCGTAGTTATAATAAAATATATTAACAAACAAAACAACAGCATCAGATTCAAACATGCACAACACGATATACTCGATAATACATTTTGACACTACCCAATACACACATTGAGCTGTACTTTATAGTATCTGTAGCATCCTCTTGTCAATCAAATCGTTTTTTTTTTTTTTTATTCTTTTCTCCTTTTCCTCCTTTTCCCCTTCCTAACTTCCATCCTGCGTTTCCCTTCTTTCGTTCCCTTTTCCGCCTTTCAACAATGGCCAGGGTAACAACCTGGGTGCGCGCGTTTTTTTATTATATTTTATTTTATTTGAATTTTTATTTTAATGGCCATTCTATATTTTTATTTTATTTATTATTATTATTATAGTATTTGTATTATAATTTTTTTTTTTTTTATTTTTTTATTTTTTTTATTTTTTTTTGTTTCTTTATTATTTCTTCAGTCTGTGGGCGGTTGTTTTTATGAGTTACATGTTAATTGTAATTTTTTTTTTTTTTTTTTTTTTTTTTTTTTGTTCCTTGACTAAAACTTCCTTTCCGGTGGGGGTTGTTCTACTTCCCATTCTCTCCAGTCAATCCTTATCGACTACTCTACCGTTTCTTGCTGATGACACCTCGAAACCCTCATCCAACCGCATCAACAGCGGCAAATCTGACCCTTCCTGACGCCTATAAAAACGTGCCCATTTCTCGAGTTCTCGATTTCTTTTTCTTCCTCCTCTTCTTGTTCCTCATCCTTCTCATCACTCTCCATCCTACTCCACCAACACCTTCCACACACACGAAAGAAAGAAAAAAAGCTACAGAAACTCTGCCTCGTTTCCAAGCCTTGGTACATTACACCTGTCTCAAGCCAATCAAGCCAATCAAGTCAAGCAAGTCAAGCAAGTCCATTCAAGCTTCTGAATTTCCACCCGTCCGTTTCAAGCGATCGACCCTGACCAACCGTCCCTAAAAACAGGCATCAAGCAAGATCATTTTGCTGACCGAGCGTTACAAGTCCTCGCCATCTCCCTCGTACCACAACGACCGCATCGAGAAAAGCTTCTACCGCGCCATCCTGATTACTCTGTCCTGCCTATTTGCCTTTTTTTTTTTTTTTAAAAAAAAAAAAAAAAAAAAAAAAAAAAAACCTGAACTGTCCGATTGTTTGTCCCTCAAAGGTCTTGCCAAACCAAGTCTCCAGTGCATCATCCATTGCCTTTCCTGGCCATCTGACTATCATTCTATTAGCCCAAGCTTCTGGTCGCTGTTTCATCGTCATTCCAAGCGCATTTTGGGTTTTCTTTTAAGCCAATCTTCTCCTTCTTCCAAGGTAAAGGAACGGACCAACAAAGTGTTGTTTGTGAACAAAAAAAAAAAAAAAAAAAAAAAAAAGAAAGGAAAAGAAAATCTTTTTTGTATTACTATTCAATTCTATTTCATTAGAACCCCTACAATTCTTTTTCTCTATTTTATTTTTTTATTTTATTTTATTTTGCCGTATTTTTTTTTTTTTTTTTTTTTTTTTTTTTTCGCACAATCCCATCATCATTATCAATTCGTCACCGCAGTACGTGTGCATTTCTTTGGACAATATGCACATGCAGACTGCTGGTCTTTTTCTTTTCTTTTCTTTTCTTTTTTTTTTTTTTTTTTTTTTTCTGTTGCATATTGTGGATAAAGAGGAAAAGGACAATACTCAGTTGGAGGATTCATTTGAAGGGGAAGATGATTTCTACAATGCCAAAAAAAAAAAAAAAAAAAAAATTCTGTTTCTCTAATCGAATGGTTACACCAATGCTTCTATTTAGATAATACCTTCAAGAACCAAAGGACAAACGAGTTATTCTCATCAGCACAACAACCAAAAAGTCAAGAAGAACCGTTGAAAATTTAGGGAGGCCAACTCTTTTTTAACACACACAAGAAAAGGAAAAAAAAAAAAAAAAAAGGAGCAGCGTCAACTTTGACTAATTCGATCAACAGACCAGCCAACAATTACAAAGAAAAAAAAAAATATTCCCACCACAAAAAAAAAAAAAAAAGGAATTCAATTTTTCTCCGAGCAAGGACCAAAAAGACGAACAACAACAGAAACAAAAAGCAGCGAACGCTAAAAAAGCAACCGATTACCTAAACCCTGCGACAACAAAAAATACAAAAACCAAATATACACGAAACTCGCTCATTCTCTAACAACCAGCTTAGCCACTAAAAAAACAACTCTAAAACAAAAAAGGTTCCTTTAACAAAACAACAAAAAAACCATGTCTTCCCTCCAATACAACCAGGCCGGCAACATGATCTCCTTGGAGGATTCAGCTCAAAGCCTTGCTCCACGCTCCGCCCTTTCTATGGAAGAGATGATCGCGCTCATGGGCGGATCTGAATTCTCAAATGACTCGACTGCTGCTGCTGCTGCTGCTGCTGCCATGTCCAGAAACTGGAGACAGACTCCTGGTGATGCCAACTATGTCACCGCAACCGTTCCAGCTGTCGGAGGACATCGTCGCAACCACGAGTAAAAAAAAAAAAAAAAAAAAAAAGGAGAACAAAGGAGTAGTGGCTCAAAACAACACGAAACAGATCAATACACCAAACACCCTTTTTTTTTTTCCCTTTTCTTTTCTTTTTTCTTTATCTGGATCTTATTCTTCACACCATTATATCAGTTACAACCAGCCTCCAAAAAACGTTCCTGGATCTTGTACTATTTTTTTATTTTTTTATTTTTTTTCTTTGGATACCACAATTTCATTTATTATATTTCAGTCATCATACCACATCACTACTTACACCACACGACAATCAAATTAAACTGGATCCGACAATTCAAAAACGGAACTAAAGCAAGGGATCATTGTCAAACGAACAAACGAAACGACACGCGCATGCATCTGCATGAATTGATCTTTTTGTCTTGTTCCCTTTTTTTTTCTCTTTCTTTTTTTTTTTTTTTTTTTTTTTTTTTTTCTTAAACAATTGCTGCCTTGTTTCTGGATACAGGATTCGATGTATAGGAGTTGAAGACGACGACGACAACAACGACATCAAAAAAAAAAAAGGGGGACACACTTTCTTCTCCAACTGAAATTGAGTTCACCTATTCTTGGAATCCGACACACAAACAATATGAAAATATCAGGCAGGAGGGAAAAAAAAAAAAGACGATCGTCCATTTCAGTTTCAAAACACGACGTCCAGCCGCAATTGACTTTATTTATTTATTTATTTTTTTTTCGACAAATGCTCTCACTCTTTTATTTTTTATTTTTTTATTTTTTTTTTGTGCTACTCGTTTCTCTAACGATCTCAAAACTCGAACAAGGGATGGGAGGAACACAAACAACCTCCATCTATAACCCATCCTACTCACACCACACCACACCACACGACATGGTACAAAAAAAAAAAAAAAAAAAAAAAACTTTTTCTTCACAACCCAACCAGAAATCTACTCCACCCTTGTTTTTTTTTTTTTTTCTTTGTATCTATATTCCACACACACACACCACAGGCACACAAACACACAAAAAAAAAAAAAAAAAACTTTATTTTTGTACCCCTTTTTTTTCTTCTTCTTATAACTTTTAACAAAAAAAAAAAAAAAAAAAAAAAAAAAAATATTTATATATTTGTAGTATTCATTTTGCAGTTCAATTCAGTATCAAAAGGACAAAAAAAAAAAAAAAAAAAAAAAAAGATTCAGTGTATATCCCATAGTTTTTTTCTTTTTCTCTCTTTTCAGTATACCATATTATTTTTTCAATAAACAATTCAATCAGTTTTAAACATTAAAAAAAAAAAAAATCGAATCTCTTTCCCCAGGTTATTTTTGGAGAGGCAAAAAAAAAAAAAAAAAAAAAAAACCTGTAACGGATGAATAATATATTTAAATGTATAAATGATCAAACAAAAGGAGTTTTTTATTTGAGGTGAATAAGTAGAATGGAATGGTTTCACGATAAGACATGCAGGGTTGGAACACAGACCAAATAAATCATCATCACAATAATAATAATAATAATATAATATACATGTATAATAATAACAATAATAATGATAATAAAAGTAAATTATTAAAGGAATGAGGGGAACCCTTTTTTATTTTTATTTTTGTTTTTGTTTTTATTTCTATTTTCATTTTTATTCTCATTTTTATTTTTATTTTAAAAGATGGGGTTAAATTTTATATGTGACAGGGAGAAACAAGTGCACGTTCTTCCTCTCCCTCTTTTCTCTCATATGAATATTTATAATACTTTCTCATTGCCCCCCTCCTTTTTTTTGTTTACAGGGTAAGTATGGTCGTACAATGCCGTCATGGAAGTAACATAAAAAAAAAAATGCGACTCCTCTATACACATAATATTATACTTTATTATTATTACATATACATATATATATATATATAACTTATCTCATTGTAAATTGTCCTTGGATATTATTGGATGTAAAAATATGAATATTTATTAACACTGACTGTCTTCTTCTCTTCCTTGTATATTAATAATAATAATAATTAAAAGTTATTAAAGTAAGGTAAAATAAAATAAACATGATATACATATATATATACCATGGTTTCTCCTTTCTTTTCTTTTCAAAGACAAGACCATTTCATTCGCCCAAACACACTTTATGTTTTCCTTTACCCTCTCCTTAGGCTGAGGCATTTGTTGAATTGGATAATAGCCATTGACTAATTGAGGCAATATGTGACTCGAGAAAGGATTGCTCCTGCTGTGCTTTTACAGGAGAAGATGATGAAAATCCCCGAGATCCATTTTTTGAAAATGACGACGACGACGACGACGACGACAATATTGATGGTGTTGGCGATGATAATGATAATAACGATAATGATGATGTTGATGTTGATGATGGTGAACCGTGCGTCAAATGAAATGAAGAATCCTGAGTATCGTAATTGTCATCCTTCATATCCTGATCATTCTGACGAGATGAAAGTAGTTTATTTTTCTGACACATTGGTGTGCCAGGCCTAAGTCCGAAAAATAAAAAGTGCGGGAAAACAAAAAGGAAAGACAGGTTAGGATCGGCGAAATAAAATTATAGCGTGCTTATTAGCTCGGCCATGAAAAAATGAATGGAGGATGTGATGAAAAAGAAACATTTATCCTTTAGTTATGCCTAACTTATAAAATAAAGCCTTTTTTTTTTTTTTTTTTTTTTTTTTTTCTTTTCTTACCTGGAAATACTATGGAAGTGTCGGCCATGTTCATAACAATTAATGTGAGGACATGAGATCACATTGGATATTGGACTTTCAGCAATAGTAGATCTATGGTGGATATAGATCGGTCCATCTGGGATAGTTGGATAGATATGTGAAGACGTTGCTGATGACGAAGTCTATATTTTATTTTAATTTTAAAATAATCACATCAGCTTTTTTTTTTTTTTTTTTATTTTTCTTTTCTTTTCTTTAGTTCATAGACATCATCAAACGAGGAAATATCGGGATGTGTATTATTGGGGAAATCCGTTCTATTCTCGTGCCATCGCTTATGTGTTCTGTAACACATGCATGTAAACAACAACACAACGGAAAGCACAAATCAAGTAATTTTTTTTTTTTTTTTTTTTTTTTTTACCTCGTCGCTAGATTGTGATACAGGTGGTGTCATGATTTCAATTGAACGGTGCATAGGTCGATAATTCAGTAAGAACGATGACATCTCCAAAGGACTCTTGGTAATCAATGGATGCTCTGTATGAATCGGGGCTGAGAACTAAGTAAGACATTAAAAAAAAAAAAAAAAAAAGTTCAGTTAATTGTTCCTTTGAAAGATCTCACACAGATCTCTCTCTTTTTTTTTTTTTTTTTATAGATATTATTTTAAATGAATATATATATAAATATATACCTCATCCTCAGGATCACACCATAGACGGCGACGATTACTTTCTTTAAGCTTTTGGACTGTAGGCTGTGCTGTAGTGTCCTTGGCCTGTATCGAAGATGGATGCTGGGTATAGAAAAGAGCTCCATTGTCCGGAATAAAATCAGTCTCTGAAGGAGCCGTGGTGGATTGAGAAAAGTTATTAATTATACTAGGCATGATGACAACAATGGTGATAGGGAATGGAAAAAGGAAATGGAGGACTATCGGTTTAGTGTGGTTATAGCGAGTTTTTTCTCGAATGGAATGTTTGATAGTAGCAAATTGTAGGTGTTGTGATCGAGGTGATGAAAAAAAAAAAAAAAAAAAGAACGAGCGTTGTTGGTGAAAAAAAAAAAAAAAAAGTTTCTCTTTTTTTTTAATCAACTGTTACAAACCCCGGTAGACAGCCACGCGGAAGCGGAGCCCTAAAAGAAAAAAAAAAAAAAAAAAAAAAAATTCAAGATGCTCCCGTCGGATTGAATGAGCATCACCCATCAAGACATCCTTCATGAGTGGCATGGGGTTGGGATGTCTATTTAGAAAAAAGATGATGATATGCGGTGATTGAATTTAAATAAAGAATGCACGACCATCCGACATCTCCCATCACAATTAGGTTTTCCTAATATGGATATCGTTCTACAAATCATACCATTCGCCTTGTAAGTCTTGAAGGTGCATCAAAAAATGTTGGATATTTGAGGTTATATTGTACAATTGGTAAACTCATTACTGATTATCTATTACGACTTGAGTATACAAAGAGTTATGGAAGGGGTATAGCTTGTAAAACAAGATTAAATTTGATGGTAGGCGTTTTTTTTTTTTTTTTTTTTTTTGTACATATTTCGTTTTCCTTTCAACACTGCAAAGGGTCTGTGGAGCCAGTATAAGGAGGATAGGCAGTAGTTGCAGTATCACGATTGGTCCTTGTGATGCTCTCCATGGTTATGATGATGATCATGATGATGGTGGCCGTTCCGATGAGCAGCTGTCCAATCCTTGACGCTCTCATTATCTGTCACCAATCCAGTCATGACCCCACCGTTGGTGGTCCTCCAAACTGCCCAACCCTCTTTCAAATCCTCACGCCAGACAACTCCTTGATACTGAAACGTCCAGAAGCTCCACCAGCACATCAAGATCAATCCCATCACCAGGTTGGACAACATCATGGACCAAAAGCCAAAATCAATGATATCAGTCCTGTATCGAACCACCGTTGGTGCAGCACCAAACGAAATAGAGGTAGATGAAGACCGTTGAGCCTCTACTGCTGCTTCCAAAAGTTCCAAACAACTCTTCCCAGAGGATGCATAACGACAGAAGGTAGGATCATCCATGGGCATGAATGGAACATGAAACCACCATCGACAAAACCTCCATGCAAGAACCCAACCTGCTCCAACGCCCCAGAGACACCACAGTCGGTAGTACTTGAGCTGTCCAATCTGATCCATTCTCGTCAGGTGTTCCCATGATATTAAACCCCAAAGATTTCTTCGGAACATCAACAGACCTAGAAAAGTGGCTACTGGCATGTAGAGGATGTACCAGTTGCTATACTTTTTTACAAAGGGCGCCAGAGGTAATAACTGGTTGATGTCAATACTACCATTGGTAGCATAGGTCTGATGAGGTTGAGACCAAGAGTATGCACTACTTCCTGAACGCCTCAAGCCATAATCGCCAATTCCGTACGCAGCGCGATGCTCCAACTGGTGGATTTCCATATCCGGATCAGAAAACCAGATTGCCAATCCCCAGCCGATCCAGACGACCCACGTGCCATAAATCACTGTTATCCGCTCAAGTTTTGGAAACCTCAGGAGATGCCAAGCCAACGAGAAGATATGGAATGCTGTATCGGTCAAGTACACGAGATGGGTGAAAGAGACAAGTTGGAATGGAGAGGGAGTACCAAGAAGCATAAAGATTCGATAAAAAATCAAACAAATGTGTCCAACAAGTGTCCATGGGGTATATGCAGTGTGGCTATTACAGCAATTTGGGGGATTGTGGGAAAACGTTAAAAGTTAAAAAAAGATGTACATCATTATGAACAGTAAATAATATTTATCAAGGCTAAGAGATAAGACTGAAGATCACTTACATGCGTTGTGTCTTTTTGAGATACTGCCGAGCATGGCGCCTATCATTATTATACCGCGATTTAGATTTTGGTGAAGAAGGCGGCGTGGTTCTCCGGCGAGGACCGTTCGATCCATTGCCACTGTTATATTCTTCGAATCCATCTTTTGTTTGAGAATCACTAGGACTGGACCAGAACCCACCCTGGCTCGAGTACCCGCCCTGACTTGAATAACCATCGTCCATGGATGTATTTCCCCTGCCAATTGAATGGTTGTATTCTGCTTTATTTGAGGAGGTGCTGTTGTTATTGGGACGAGGCGCTGGAGGTGACTGACGTCGACGACGTTCTGAGGAAGGTGAACCCTGGTTATGTTGGTGGCAATAGCCTTGTTGTTGAAAGTACTCGCGGTGTGCCTGTGAGTGTGAGAGCGGTCGTGGTCGTTCGTGCACCGAAGAGTCCAAACTTGGGGATTGATGAGGCACTGAGAGTGAGTTTGTGGAATGACAAGAAATGGATGGATGGGGTGGTAGTTCTGTGGGATCTGACGTATTAATAGTAGTGTTGATGTCCTTTGGGGATGAAGAAGGCGAAAGTGATGGGGTAACAACTGAGATCTTTTCTGTTTGTGATGGTATTGTTGATGGCGTCGGTAATGCTGATGGTGAAGGTGTGGAAACAGGTGTAGACGGAAGAGACGTTGAGAGCATGAGGATGCGTGCTTGTATTTCTTGTGCTTGTGTCGTGTTGTGAGACTTCACCACTGTGCTTGCAGAATTCTGTGTTTTGTGCTCCGGCGCATGCGAGTGCTTCAATGGAGGGGAGTGTGCGCGAGGGCTAGTCTGGCCAAAAGTGATCATGGACGCAGCTTCAAGAGATGCTGACATTGACATGATAAAAATCCTTTAAAGAAATCGATGTTTTACTTTTTTTATGCTTTTTCTTTCAAACCTTCACTTTTCAGAAAAGTATAGGCGAACAAGTTACAAGTGAAAAAAGGAAGATGTCAAGGCAAGAAAGGCAAGAAAGGTAAGAAAGGGAATTGAAAGATAGAGAATTTCATGTGAGAGTGTACAGAAATGTGATTGTGTTTCGATCCGTGTTTTTTCTTTTCTTTTCTTTTTTTTTTTTTTTTGTACGACTGTTAAAGGGGAGTGTGCAAAGGAAAGGAGAGACAAAGAAAAGAAGACAAAAGAGAATGAATGAACAATGAATGGAGAATGGAATCCAAAAAGTCTACATAGTTTTGATGGCATGATAAGCATCCACCATGTGCTGGATTTCAGATCTTGATCTGTGTTGCTGACCCTAAAAAGCTGTTTATATCTTTCTTATCGACCACACGCTCACACGTGTTCCCCAACTGGTTCATGTCCAGGGACCAGATTATGCACGTCGTGAATAACATGAGCTTTACGCGTCTTTACTGTATGAATTTTTGCATAACATTTTTCTCTATACAAATATATTATATATTATTATATTTGTGGAGGGATAGGATGTTTGTATTTTTACAATAATAGCTCGTCGCATGAAGTTTTTATTCAGGAGTGGCTGACATGTGAAGCAATTGGTGCTCCGGCCCGATCTAATAATTTTTTTAAGGGGTTTTATATCGAACTACTTCCCCATGTTGAGACGGCACATTGGTAGCCTAAAATTATGGTTGGCCAATATAGCTAAAGGAAATAAAGATATATATCCATAGCATTACGTAAATTCGGCCTCTCATATGCTATATTTTCTCTCGTGACCATTGACTATTCGTTTCTTTGCTCTGTTCTCACTTTGCACTTTTAAACTTTGGCACCATGACACAATTAACGCTCAAAGACATTTTACATTATGCGGTCGATTATGATCCTCTTGTAGTTGTTGAGCCGTATCCCATACCTAGAGAGGCAGATTCACCTCATCCTTTTACGGCCAGTTTCACCATTGAGCAGTTCCGTTCGTTTTGGAATCAGGAAAGGATCGCATTTCAATGGCAGTATTGTTCAGAAAGGAACTCACGCACATTCTACAGCAACCAACCTCTGGATACGCCACTTCCTTGTTTCAAACCCACAACTTATGGCTCTCAAGATCCTGGTCGTCCTCGTGAATACGATTGGTCTGTGAAACATGGCTGTAGACAACGCCGGCGAGAGAAAGCACTCACTATTGGCCGTAGCTCCGTGGGTAAAAATTGTCCAGCTCACATTCGTATACAAAAGGTTGTTGGCCAAGATCGAGTGAATATCGAATACCATTGGCGTCACAACCATAGCACCGCTCCAGAAGCAACATCTCTTCTCCCCTTGGGGCCTAACGAGCATAATTGGTCCAAAAAAAGGATTATGGAGGATCGGGATTGGAAAGACATTAAGGTTCTTTTACGACCGAGTTCTGAATTGGTAATAAACCACTTCAGCATTAGTACATAGCAGTGTCCAGATCTATGCCTTCAAAGTGTAATGACCGGTTTTCTATACTTTACAATAGGTCGATAGGGAGGGAGACAAAGTTTCGCCCGCTCATTTCATAAAGTACAACAATATCCGTGCAAGCGTTTATCGTCGGCGCGTAGCATCATCTCAAAAACATAAGGACGTTAAAGTAAGTGTCAATCTCTGGATCGAACAGATTCATCAAGATGGAGGCAAAGGGTTTTTCGTAGATCATTTCGACAATAAACCAGATCAATATTTAATTGCTTGGTCTTTCGCCTCTCAGCTCAAGGTATGGATTTAACTGCGTTGCTGTTAAGATCGACAGAATTCATTCTATCATAAATGGGTATAATAGTTCTCAAGGGTCTTTTTTTTTATACATTTCTTCATCCTATATAGATCATACAGGAAGATAGCCAAGTCTTGTTTATGGATTCAACGTGCAAGGCGATAAAATCCTTGGAACCAACTAATGAAAATCTTAAAGTGTATACATCGGCGTGTCTATTCACAATCTTTGCTAAAGACGCTCATGGCCAGAGAGGCATACCAATTGCTCATATGATCTCAAGTTCAAAATCAAGGTACCACTTTTACTCCTTTCTTTCTTTTTCTTTTGCATAGACAGTAAAACATGTATTTCTCTTTGAGATTAAACATCACGGTCGTTCATTGTAGGGATTTGATTATCAAATGGCTGTCCTGGCTCAAAATCGATTGTGGATTGAATGCAAGCAAATTTATAGTAGATCGTGCAGTATTGGAAACTGAAATCGCCAATGCAATATTCCCGGATGCAACAATCTATTACAGTCTTTTCCATTTGCAACAGTTATGGGAGGAGCAACTCAAGAAAGCTTTCAATGTAGGTTATGGCTCCATATATATGCATATATGCCAAGAAACTCGTTTACATTCAAATTTCAAGTGTCTAATGCCTAATGTTTGAGCTATTTAGAGTAAAGAGCTCGACAAGCTACGACCCTTATTGACTAGTATCTGTAATGCAACCTCTGAGGAACAGCTGCTCATACTATCACAGCAACTTAAAGTTCAACATCCTGGAGCAACTGCAGTTTTCGAGTACATCGAAAACAACTGGTTCAACGATTTACAGAAGCCCTACTGGATGATCTTCATGGGAGATGTAAGTTAAATCTTATCCAGCGCTTAAAAAAAAATATATATATATATATATATATAAAAGTTTCTAACTCATCTACATTTAGAATTATCAGCACGTAGACACGAAAGGCTTGGTCGAGGGTTGGCGGAGTGTCCTTAAAAGATATCGCTTGGACAGGGAACGGAGTCTACGTGCGGACTGTGCGATATACATGTTACAAAAAGCATTTAGTACAGAATTTAATGTAGAAGGCAGTGGATCTCCTGGTGAATCCCAGCCTATTCAGATTCCATGACGCAATTTTCATCATGCTCGTACAGCAATAACAATAATAAAAAGATTGCATTATATAGATTATGAATCACCTGTTGAGAATATTTCCAGATGTTGGTGGCGTCTAACGATTTAGAAAAGAGGTGCATTTCAGGTTCCTGAGAGCAATTGAGCAATAAATGCTATTTTGACATCCTTCCTTCTTTTCTCTTCATTCACCTCGCACCCATTTTGATATCCATTCATTTTTACTTCTTGGCGTCCTTGTCAACATTATCCTCATTCGGTCCTCACGCATTCATAGTTATCCCCGTTGCATAACGCCCTTTATCAACATAAAACACTCATTTTTCATATACTCTTAGTTTTTATTGATTCACTACAAAAAGAAAAGGCTGCCTTTAGGAAACTAGGAAAAGCAACTATTCGATATAGCCGAAGATGCAACGAGCCAATTCAAACGGGATCTCTTTCCTTCGTAGACGATCGAGCAGTGCAGCCCCTTCAGTGCCCTATGCCAACCCTGCAGCCACACAGTTTTTGCGATTAGGTGTTGGTATTGACCATGTTGATGTTGGACACAATGACGAGGAAGACGTCATTTATCAGGGCATCGAAAATGGTATGGAGGGCCATAGTGAGGACGACATTGTCAGTGATGAAGACGAGGATGATATTGAGGATGAGGATATCTTGGTAGAGGAGGAAGATATCAACATTGTGCTTCAGCAGGAGCTCGACAAAAAAACTGATGACGACAATATGTGCGAAGTTACACTAGAGACCAGTAGCAACAATAACATCCAAAGCACAATCGACAATTGTAATTCAAAAAGCGAAAGCTCACAACCAGGACGAATGGTCGTACAGGGAGAAAGAAATGACATGCAAATGAAAAATGAAGGAACGCAATCAACAGGTACAGGATCAGGAACAGGAGTATCGTCATTGTCGTCATCGAAACAAGATATAACAAACGCAGCAATCATGGTTGAGCCGGCAGTGACAGCAACAACAACAACAGCGCTATCATCATCATCCAACACGCACCGGATTCCTGTCAGCATTAACACCCAGCTTAACTTTAATGAAACTCTATTCAAAAACAATCCAACAAAGTCACCTAAATCACCCAAATCACCAATTTCGCCCACTTTCAAAAGGCAGGGCCCAGCCTCGCCTGCGTCTCCTACCAAAGCCCTTGCTCCAGGTCTGCCCGTGTACCATGAGAAGTTCACCAAGGGCACCTCAAATAAGGCCCACGGAGCTAACCCCCTCAGCAATGCCAACAATACCATTATCGCGTCTAGTATTGCCGATGGTTCTGTCCCTGCATCACCCTTGAAACCCCCAGCATCACGTCGGAACACTAATGTGAATGCAACGCCCCCAGCAGCTTCCACACAACGCGCCCAAAGCACCACTATCATCCCACAACTGAAGCACTTTGCCGAAAAAGAGGGCTTTGTCACTGTTCATAACTGGAAAATTCACTATAAGATCACATACCCGACCTTTGACCCCTCATTCCGAGTTAATGGCAATGGCCGCAACATCATCCTCTTCCATGGTGCGCTCTCCAACCTGGGCACATGGCGCAAGGTTCAGCAGACACTGGCAGACCGTACTGGGTGTAGAGTCCTCTCGTTTGATCGAGTCGGCCATGGGTTTTCGGAGAAGCCTGCGACCTGGCCTAAGAAAGCGAACCCCTACAAAAATGGAAGCGTTCTGGCGATTACGCAGACCTTACTTGAAAGCCTTGGCATGGACCAGAACTTGATCCTGATTGGAAATGATACTGGGGCCACAATTGCCTTGGCTGTTGCGCTCTCGAAACCCGAAGTCGTGCGTGGTCTGATTTTGGTAGCACCTGCGATTCTTGATGAGGCCCCACCGCTTTATCTCCGTGCCTGTGTTACGTATCCGCCACCAATGAACTGGATCTACCGTGGCTTGTATGGCAACCATGGGCCGTTGCAACAGTTTTATTATAAGCCTAAAGTCATGATGTCGGATCCCAGTACTATCGAGATGTACATGGGTCCGACAAAAGACGATGGTTTCTGGAGAGGACTCGCAAATGTAACCAAGTATAGGACAAGCTACAAAATTAACAAGCACCTTCAACGCCTGACAGAACTCTCAACTTTGGTGATGACAGGCGATGTGGACGATGTGGTCCCTACCATTGAGACTCTCCGACTATTTGAAATCCTCCAGAGTGTGCGCCAGTTGAATGTGCCACAGGTGCTCAAGATCATTAAGCATTCTGGACATTTGCCGCAGGAGGAGAAGCCCAATGATTTTATCAACGTTGTTTCATTTTTCATCAGAAAGGTTTGTCTTGGATCACTTTCAAGAGAGGGCTCCCTTGGTAGACGCATCTCTGGAGGTGTGGTACGCACTCTGTCGAAGAAATCTGTCAGCAATTACCAGAATGCTGGCAATAGCGGCTACACTGGGATGCAGATGGCCTTGGAAGCTAATAGTCAGGTGAACGCACAGTTACCAAATAATAATAATATCCCGCCGGTGCCGGCGCCAAACCCGAGCCTTGGCCTAGGTCCCGCAAACCCTACACTTGGACTAGGCTTTGAGCCAGTCGTTAGACCAAGTGGATATACACGAGGCCCATCTATGGTCCAATCAAAGCAGGTAGTGCCGGAACTTCTACAAATTCAAGCACAGACAGTCAAGAGCCACTAATTAGTCTATGGCTGAGCGCGTGTGGCAACTAACTTATTGGTCATTACTATCATAGTATATACCGCAGTTGGATAGTTTTATTTACAGCACTGCAATTTACCATGCAATAAAAGGCTAATAGGTTTATTTAAAAAAAAAAAAAAAAAAAAAAAAAAAAAGGATACCTTGAAGGATCCGCTTTCATTCGTTATCTGCACAGCTCCTCAACTCTCCAATATTCAAGCCCATTGGTTTATACCCGTATCCCGCCCAACGATTAAAGGCTTGTAGTTGCTAAAACTGCCTGTTTTCATAGACTTGATCAATCCCAGCTTCTCTTCTGCTCTGCTCTGCTGTACTTGTATAGTCACCATAGGACATCAGTTGATGGATAATCCAGATCTCTTTAGAGTCGAAACTCTGCGGAAAAGAGCGAGAAGGGCTTACAGTCCTTCTTATTTCTTGGCCAAGAAATTATAAAGCTTATTAGCATAGCATAATTGCCATACACACAAAAACCATGAGAGATTTCCAACGCGCCTTTCGCCGTGCCCAGCCTTGGCAAAAAATTAATAAATCACGAGCCCTAAAATAATATGATATATAAAGGCTTGTGAATTATTGATTTTTTTTTTTTTTTTTTTTTTTTTTCATCGTCTTTTTCTCAACACTACGTCAGTTTCCATAAAGAAAGAAAACAAATTAAACAAAAAATGCTCAACGCCATCTTTAACAGTTATCCTAACAAGCCTACGATCCCTGTACGTGTCCCTAACGATGACACGACTTTTAACCCCAAGGAGTATCCGAACGTGATCTTTTCCGCTAAAGGCAAGTTGTCTGGCAAAGTATTTCTTGTCCACGGTGGCTCCGAGACAGATGAGACAGGACTGGGCCGTATCTCCACACGGGTTTGGGTGGTGACTGAAAGAGATAGGGAAGATGTGTCTATTACTCCCAAGATCGATAATGGGACTTTTACTTTTTTCTTGCAGGTAAAGTAGGAAGAAAAAGAAAAAAAATAAACAGCATTGGCAGGACAGAGAAAAAATAATACTGACACCATGACATTCATTTGAAAAGACACCAGAAGATTATACTTCGCACAATTTCTATCATGAAACCACTATCCAATACCCTCGATCCACCACCTCAGTGGAATCTCTCCTTGTTATGGCTCCCTCTACATCGTTCTCTGGCGACAATCTTGCCACTTTGACCTTTAGATCGATCAAGTCCACTCTCTCAAACGGTTCCATCTCGTTGGAACCCATCCACTCCGACATTGTCAAGCTCCAGACATCCAATGCCAACATTTCGGGCGTCTTTGAGGCTGGCCACGTTGATCTGAGTTCTTCAAATGGATCTATTTCTGTAGAACTCAATATGAAAGATGCAATCGATGGTGAGCAGTCCAAAGTCTTGACTCAAACTTCGAATGCATCGATCGATATGCATGTGACGGCCACAGAGACTTCTCATGGTCTTTGGATGAAGATTTTGACCAGGAATGATCGGATCTCTGTAGGAGCTCTCATAGGCAAAGCCGATCGTGCCTCATCGATCAATGCCTCGACCTCAAATGCAAAAATTAACTTCAATGTCGATGCCAGTCAAACGGGACAGGCTTTGGAGATTGTGAACAAGACTACAAATGGTGGTATTGTCTCATCCGTCATGGCGCCCAAGGATAGGCCTTTGAAGGGTATCGCAGAGTCATCAAATGCTTCTATTTCTGTCAACTTGGTATGTAGTATATTCTCTCTTTTGTTTCCCCACCTCGTCACTAAAAATGATCGTATCGCCAAAGGAAACATTTTTTTTAACCAGACTCCATGCTTATATTTTATCTTTCATTAAGACCGAGGAGTTTGAAGGCAAGTTCAGACTCGAAACTAGCAATGCATCCACAATCGTCGAAGGCACACATTTGGTTTTGGAACATGATAAGACATACTTAAAGAATGGATACCGTATCAAGAAGGGACCTAGTGAGTTCACTGCCCTCAGCTCCAACGGTTCAGCAGCCCTGCGGTTCTATCCCGCCGGTCTCAGCTCGGCTTCAGCTTGAACAAAGAATGAGAAGGGCAAAAAAGGAAAGTAAAAGCTTAAACAATAAACATGACCTGTGCAATCGTGTTTCTATGTTCGATGACAGCTCCAGCACCGTGTTCCTTTTCTTTCTCTCTCCCTCCCTCTTTTTTTCATACTGCGATTTAACATGAAAAATAAGTACTATATTCAGCATATTTGCGATATCGCCGAAATAAATAGGATTTTCTATTCATCTAAATATGTCAGTGTTTCTAAAACTAGTATTATCCTTAAGTGCATCGTTATGGCTTTTGTATTCCATGACAGTGTCTATAGGGAGATCCAGGACCCGTTTCATAGTATCTCGAATCTTTAGATTGATACGGCCCTCATCTGCTGACTTATTCCATATCGAGAGGATATCCTCTGCTCCACGAATAGACAATACAATTCCACAGATTTCAGACCCTACATCAAACTGATCTCCAATGACTGCCATTGCCTGCGTAAAAAAAGATGGTTTAAACAAAAAAAGGAGCGATATGCCATTAATTAAAGTTGGAAGCGGATACGGGACAAGTTTTTTTTTTAAAAAAAAAACGCTACAGGAGGACATACCAAATTCTCCCAGTACCGGCTCGCTAAACCCTTCTTAAGCCTCACGATCCATTTGCCTCCACTGATGTTGGCAGGATCCTCCCATACTGGCCGCACTCCCTGCTTAAACAGGTGATAATCACTCACATGTGGCAACTCATTCGGTCGGCGAAGATGTGAATATACAGCCCAAAAAGCTTCAACCTAGCAGATATAATATTGTTTTGATTAGAACAAGTATGTAACTCCTAATAGGACAACAGCAGCAAAAACAAAACAAAAAACAAACAAGGACTTACAGATCCAAAGGTTGTAATCTTCTTCATGGAGCTTTCGTAATTCAAGATCTTACTGCCAGGTGCCCGATGCATGAACCAGAATACCCAATTGTAGTGCAATGGATGAGTTTCGGATGATCCAGGGATATGAAGCAAAACATTCCCAGAGGATAAGGTTGGAGTTGATGTGGAAAGACTGGTGGTAGTGCTCTTAGATGAAGCATGGAGTTCTTCTCCACTCGACCCTTTCCCCAATTCGCCATTACCGCCTGCAAAACTTCCTAAATTTGAGAGAGCACCATGCGTTGTCGGCGCTGACTCTGACTCGATTCCTCCAGCATATTGACTAATGCTATGATTATAGTTATTGCTAGAACCTGTTGATGAGGACTCAAAAGTAGTGCTAGGGCTTGTGAGGAATGCGGATAATCTGGGGTGGATAACGCCTGATCCGTGAGCACTACTGCTGAGGGGTCCTGAAGAGATGGTAGAGGATGAGATAGTTAATAGTGTAGGTAAGCCTCTACTGAGAGCAGGAATGTGGCGTTGAAGTTGAACAAGTTTCAAGCCCCCTGCTCCTGTCCCTGTCCCTGCACCTGTCCCTGCCCCTGCCCCTGCCTCTGTCGATGACGGCCCGCTATGATCGCGAGTTCTGATGTTTTTAATGTTTGTCAATTCACCAATAGAACGAGGCTGTTAATTGACTGTTGTACCATAAACTAGTAAATAACATTTGTGATCACATACAAAAAAAAAAAAAAAAAAAAAAACTTACGACTTGCGAGAAATACCCCAAGCTGACTCCATGATATATTATTGATATATAAATTTATACGTGCTTTGATTGCGTGTGTGTTTTTAGGATAGCGTGTGAAAATGCAGTAGTGCAGATATGCTTTCTTCTTGGTTCGAATGATGAGCGTGAGAAACTAAGTGGGAGCACATTTATAAAAAATAAAATTGTTGAATAATAATAAAAAAAAAGGCCCTTTAAAACATGTTGAAATTCATTTGTGTTCCTCGGATCCCTTCCCCCTACAGCCAACTCGTTCTGCACATGAGGTCAGGCTATCTATTGTTGCTGCTACTGGTATTGGAATGTTTTCAGAGTCTGAGATCTGCTTGTTCCCAGAATTGAGAACATGAATGCTCTGGACATTCCTACACATGCCATTCCTTGTATACAGACAGGATCAAGAAGTCGCTAGTATCATTTACTTTTTTTTTCTTCTTTTTTTTACAAGTATATTTGCCACTCAAGTCGAAGGAAGTTAAGGTGAGAAAAGGTGAGAAAAGCAACAATTGAAACACACACACACAAAAAAAAAAGCACGTGACAGAGCCTTTCATGTCAACCCGACTAGATTTGTGGTTTGTTCCTTCGTGAAACTGTGGTTATGATCTTAGTATCTCAATCAAGGAACCTGCAGTTGATCAACAAAATCTACTCAGGATTTAATAATTTCAATTGACGTCGTATTCGCCACTCTTAACCTTTTCAAAATACTTTAAATGAATTTTTTTTATTGTGAAAAAATATTTAAACAATGCTAATTATACTTCGCTGGAGGAGGCGAGAGATTGAACGATCTGAAGACTTGTCTCCAGCACTTCCTTTTGCTTAGCTGCGACAGCTTCAGACATGGGTGGCTCGGGCGGTGTGGCGCATGTTGGATTGTAGACAGAATCAGAAGGTTTTTTAGTTTTTTTTGATATTTTTGATACAATCTCGTTCGAACATGCCTCAGACTTAGCTCCATGCTCATGCTCATGCTCATGCTCATGCTCACGCTCATGCTCATGTCCCATCATATCTGAGTCCGAATCTGTCTCTCCCTGAGCTTTCTTTGCCTTGCGCAAGAGTTCCTGCTCCCGGCGCAGCTGTTCGAGCTCTGCTTTCTCCGTTTGAATCTTCAATTGCTGAAGCTGTTGCTGTCTCTCGATCTCTCGTTGTTTTAACTGCTGCTGATGCATCAATAGGATCTGCTTCTCTTGTATCCGCTGCTTCTGAAGCATCAGCTCTTGATCCTCTTCTTCCTGATACTTCCTCTGCTGATATATCAACTGTTGTTTACTAAAGGTCACGAGGATTGCTGTAAAATCATCATACTCCTGTATGGATTCTGAGTATAGCCCTGTGGCATTCTCGCGATCCGACAAAGTATAAACTATTCGCTGGTGATTCCAGCCTCGATCAATTTTATCGCCCACAAATTGACAAACAGTGGCGTTCTGGTCCTGCACCTTCCCACCACGCTGAACATAATCCCAGAGTCCATCCGAAGCCATGAGGAGAAATCCCTGCTGAATATCAGTGATGTCAATGAACGTTATATCAGGCTTGCAACTCAGCACTGGGTTAACAGGATCAAGCTTATAAAGAACATCTCCAATGCAGGCGCCAAGGTTAACAGAGGCGCAATGTCCATTCTTTGTCCGGAATGGGATACCGTACTGATTTGACTCGCCATCCTTGACACGAATTCTGGCTTCCTTCAGTGACTGGCGATGCTTCTTGTCGTTCTTTAAATTCGGATCAAACTTGATGATCTTATCGTCATGTGTCACAAACTCTCCACCATTAGCATAGATTGTTTGTGCAAGTCTCTCTAATGATGGCGTATGGTCTTCACTATAAAAATCCACATTCCAACGGCCTACAGAATCCCGACTACCCATCATAGTCCTTGAATCACCCAGGTTTAAACAAATGAGCCACTTATCGATAAAAATATTGACAATCAACGTTGTACCATCACTTCCCGGGTCATTTATAATTTGCTTCGCTTTAAAACGCAGGTACTGCTGCTTCTTGTATTCAAGGTACTCCTTATCGATCAAGCGAATAGCCTCTGTGATCTGGTTCTTGATTAGCTCCTGTACTGATGGCTGAGAGAGGTCTGTAGGCTTATATTTCCCAAAAATGACCTGCAAAGCCCCTGGTATTGTTGCAACTACAAATGAGGAGCAGGCTCGGCCGCCGTGGCCATCTGTGATACAGAACAGTCGTCCTAGAAATCCCCCTCCCTTATGCTTCAAATCTGCAATTGCGTAACCATCCTCACAATCGCCCTTAGGTAGGCGTTCTCTACCACTATTTCGAAGTCGCGGGTATGTGTATCCCGTTTGCTGCTCTATCGCAAATGTAGAGGGCTCCTGTGTGAGATCAACACCAAATTCGCCTCGCCGATCAGGGAAATTGTTTTCTTGTGCGTTTTTCCCCCTATAATCAGTCGTAGATTATGAAGCAATAATAATAATAATTAGAGACAGCGAAATGAGATCAAGCTTTTTTTAATCCGCTCAAGACTATTCACATACTTGAGATGTCGCATGTATTCTCCGGTCTGTGAGGGGTTGATAGAGAGTTTCATCAGAGCCGCTTGATTAATTTCGGTATCATATACATATCCTTTTGGTAACTTCTTAAGTCCATTAGGAATAGAGTTCTTCCGTTCAGGTGCTTTTGACCGGGAGGATGTGGTTATATTGGGTGATCCTGTTCTCGTCCGCTTTGAGCTAGCAAGGGACTGTTTGTGGTTATTATGGTGATTTTTGGAATTCGAACGACTTCTAGAGGTATAAGGTCGGGTATCATCCTCCGAGCTATCCGAGCTCAAGGTATCTGACCATCCAGAAACTGATTTCCTCTTATTATTTCTACTTGTTCCCTGGCTCGTCTCATTGCTGGTGGGTTCCTTTGTTTTCCGTTTTGCATTCGATGTTGAGGTCACTGTTGTCATTTTGGAACTTGATCTAGATCTGGATGTAACTTCAGTTTTTATCTTTCTTGGTTTTTTTGATAGAGGTACTATAATAGAATTCAAAATCGCCAAAGATGCTAATCAGAAAGATGTTCAAATATTATCCATATTTCCAATTCTGTATTCCTTTGGTTAACTGCTAAATTACCTGGTGGTGGTGAGTTATTAGAATCTGACTCGGTTGCATCCGAGTCATTGCCGTTCAGATGAAGTGAGGGATCTAATGCACTGGGTGCCATCCGATAATAGGTAGTGCTGCTCATTTTTTTCTTCTCGATCGGCTCAAATGTGCCTAGATTATGGGCGGTGGTCAAAGCTGTGGAGATGGCGCCTTGGACTGTGCCCCGTGGTGTTTGACCACTATATTCCGAACAAAATAAATAAAGAAGACAGCAAAGAGAGAAGAGAGCTTGTCAATACATTACTTCTAAGGAACATGAAACTTGCGTTTAAATTAGCTGTGCATGTCAAAGACCGTGTTACGTACCCGAGACTAGCAAGCTTATAATATCGTATACCTTCTATTGTTATTGTTGTTAAAGTGGTATAATTGTTAGTCGCTCCAGCTGAATTCTGATGTCCATACACGCGTAAATTGAACATGCATTAATTGAATTTCGCCTCTTCAATTATACAACTTTTTTTGTCGGCCTTCTATTCTGGCTTTATATTCAAGAGCATACCAACTAAATCGGTCGCACTCTGCCAATGGTTCCCACGAGCAACTAAGACTCGTGCAATGGCAAGAAAGAGTGGATGCTTCAGTTGTTCAGGCGACAAATGAAATGCTGTTAATTTTGGTAATTTCGCCTTCTTGGACAACTTCGGAAGCGAGCCTCCCAACTGTGATGGAGGCCTTGCCTTCGGCTTTCGACCCCTTTTTGAAGAAGACGACGATGTGGACTTTCCTTCAAACGTTTGTAAGCCAGTTGTATTCTTTATTTCCTCTTCTGGCGCCACGGTCGCAGGATTAGAATAATCCTCCAAGTGTCCTTTTGATTGTGCTGATGCAGCCGTTCCGAGAATAGTAGAAGTAGTGGTAGTGACTGTAGTTGGAGCCAGCTTGGTAGTCTTTGGCTTTTGCGTTGCAGTTTCAACGTCGTGCTCGCCTGAATCGCTCTCGCTACTATTGTTACTAATGGGAGCATACAGCAGGGATGGATGGGTAGAAGTCGTTGCGTGGACAACGGAACCCATTGTTTCTTTCTCACACCGCCTTTTTTTTCCTGTGCGTACAGAGAATGTAGTTTATTATGCAGCAGAGGAATTAACAACTAAGAGGGAGAGAAATCAACAAGAAACACATTGGTGTTGAAAAAGTATGGGCAACAAAAAAAAAAAAAAAAAAAAAAAAAACACGTCCCTTCCTTTCGTACACATTCAATCCTGATGGAAGTTTCTTTTCAACATTCAAGTCCTTTCTTATCGCCCTCATTCGAACATTAATGCTCAACAAAGAACACACAGCTCATGGAATTGGGTCTACAAGAATATATTTTATAAACAATCAGAGTGGGGAGTTGATTTTCGTTTCGTTTGTACAGGTACAGCTTGAAATAAACAAAGGTTCGATTTTCATCCTTTTTAAAGCAGCTGCAGATCATGAATAGCCCAGAGTAACGACGACTGAATGTTCATGGGGAACGTGGTCAACAGCTGAAGACACAGAGGCTGCAAGTATTCGGGCCTAAAGAAAATAAGCGACAGTTAGACATTGGAAAGGTACTCAGTGAAATCAGAAGAATGCAAAAGAGACAAATATGATACGAACCTCATCCATGGCGCTTCGACTTCTTCAACCTCAGCTTCAGGCTCAAGCTCGTCAGGATAAAGCGATGATGTATCATCGTCATCGTCACTAGAAAGGACTGTTGCAGCCCTTGTGGGCTCGGATGCAAAGAGAACGCTGCTCACCATGGAGCGGCGCTCCTCCGGATCATCAAGCCTTACGCTGGAGATTTCACTCCGGTGACCTTCTGAAAAGCTACCCTTGATGTTACTAAATGTATCATCGCTTTTACCACCAACTACACGCGGGCTAACAATATCACTTCCATTTGTATCCGCCTCTTCATCCTCTGGCTCATCATGTAATGGTACATCACCGCGCTGCTCCATAATTTTCTTTCGAGTCTCTTCTAATAGCTCAGCCAGCCTTTCTTCGACGCGATCAAAAACCTCAAAAGGTGTCAAGGGGGCGATCTTGGTGATTGACTCTAGCAATAGCTGAACAAACTCGAGGTGATGAGGACGCTTCAATGCTAGCTCTAATACCTGCCAGAAAAACTCCATCACCAGAGTAGGCAGTGCAGGGTACTCTTGATGATGATGCGAGGCGTTAGCATCCTTATTAGCTGACTCTGGGCGTGGCCTCAACGGAGGAAGATCCGTTAAGGAGTTGATACCATAAGAGATCATGTTCAACAGTGATCCAGAGACACCAGGGTTACGGAACGATTCGAGTGTTGGGTCCTGGAAAGCGTGCAGGAGACCATTTGTGATGTAATTGACGCCTTGCAAGTACACATCTCCATCGGCTGCTGATACAAATTCACCAAATGCGACGTTATTGCTTCTGTCAGTATTCTCATCAATTGCATCCTTGAGCAAGAGAATAATAAGCTCAAATGGTGCGCTGACTTTGATCACCTGATCAAGAAGCCATTGATAGCCTGAAGAGAATGCAACTCTATAAAAGGTCACATCGTGAAGTGTAACTACAGAGCGGTGACCAATATCGTCATCATCTTCGACCTCGTCTTCTGTAGGGACCACATAAAACTCGCGTGTCCTCAAGGGCTCTCGGGAGTTGTATGCGGTGTAGTAGTCGACTACATGGCGCAGTGCATCTACATTTGTTGCTCTGCAAGGGTGGAGAGGAAGTGAGGGAGCTCCCTTCAGAAGATAAATAGATTCTTGACCTCCTGGAGGGAATATATAACCCGGTCGAAGCTCCGAGGTCTGTAATGGCGACATGCGAAGATCACGGAACTTTTTGGAGCCATAAAGGTTACGAGCGATAGCGAGCTCGCAATGATCGCGGATTTCGGCCTTGACTACTGCTACGCGACACATCTGCTGCAATGCATCACGATCAAATTTGAGAATAGCCTGGTCATCTTCGCGGTCCTCAGGTCTCAATGACTTGGACATCTTTTCCAACAGCTCGGGCTTATTCTGACACATTTGTGTGATCTCTTCCTGTAACAATGCTGTAGTCGAGCCCTTCAGAGACAGACGACCAGCTTGACTCATGACATCGAGGCCACGGCGCAAACGTGTATCCAAGGAACTGGTCTGGAAATCACGGTCAGAACACCAACTGCCGGTATAAAGTAACCGCAGAGACGACTCGAACGCATAAAGTTCTTGTGGGTCTACACATTGAATCTCAATCACCTGCGACCCATTTGCGTCTTTCTCATCAAGGAGGACAATCGCCTTTTCCCCAGTGTTCTTGGTCCCAGCCAGCAGAGCCTCGAAGAGCTCGCTCTCTCTAGAAAGGATCCGTGAGTGCAGATGAAGCGATTTTTTAATAGATCCAGGTACCTGAAGGATCACAGTTACATCGCTGTAGAGACCTTCTTCAAAAAGGGCACGACTTGCACTCAAATGTGGCATTGGACTCGGTGAGAGCAATGGCTCAGGTGTAAGCACAGGACTGCTTGTTGTGGGCGAAGAGATGGACAGAGCGGAAAGCCGTTTCGCAGGCGGAAACGAGGGCAGGAACGAACTGAGATCCCTGTTCATTCCTCCAAAAGAACGTCTCTTTATTTGAGCGCTGGGGGAGACGGGCGACTGTGGCGAAGAGAACATGTAGACAAGCAGATACAGAGACAGAAGCACTATGTGTACGAAATAGGGAAAGGGAAAGAAGAAGAGATTGGTTGCTGCTAAGGATCGTTCTGTTTATGGTATATTTGGGTATATGTGGAGAGGGAAGAGTGGAGTGGAGAAGGTGAAGCGTGAATACAGACAAGAATACAAAAAAAAAAAAAAAAAAAATAGAATGGAGAGTAAGAAGGAATGAAAAAAAAAAAAAAAAAAAAAAAAAAAGATCGCTCTTTGCATGGACAAAAGATCCATTGCCACGAGGACTTTTCTGTCCACAAGGGAGTTTACTGGGGGGCGTGCATCCATTTTGTGCAACAGTCTGACCTCACAATGTATAGACACAGACAGGGACTGTAAACTCTCTGGTATAGTTTTCAATGTACAACACATGCACACACACAGCAATGGGAGATCAAAAAACCAAACTTAGTGACGGGAAGAAATCACCCGCCGCAATGACAATGCTCATCCCGTCGGTCGCCTCCCTGTGATCGTTTCCCAGTTGGCCAATCCAACACTCCATGCCATTAACAGACTGGAATGTCGGTCCCTCACAGTAACGTGCAGTTGCGTCTGGTTCAAAACGAGACTTTTTAATGCATTAAGTTTTTTCGACAGGACTTCAAAAAAAAAAAAAAAAATAAAGTAGTCTTCGGGCTCTTCAACTGCCAAAAGCTCGAGATCCAAACAGTCTCTGAGTATTTATACCTGACGTATAGTAACTCCACAATCATGGCGTACAAACCCTGACTTCGGAAGTAAATGTGAATGAGTGAAATAATGGTTCATAACCGAGGTGTAATCACGTGTAGAAGATCGACGATCGCTGATGCTGTGTTAGGGAGTCTCAATTGCCATCTCCATCACTCGAATAGAGTAAAGCCAGGCCAGTGCAGTGCAAAGAATAATACATGAGCTAAAAATTGCTCTTATGGTAAGGAAGGTCCTTGGCGGTGACACCCCTTCTTCTTCTTCTAACACCCTCTACCTAATCCCCAAATCCAATCCCGTCCTTGACAGGACTCTTCATCCTTCATTTCGGTGCCATTCCTCCATTCATTTATGTCAACTCGAGTTTGGTCTGATATTTCCCCTTTTCGACCACCTCCCGCATTTTCTTCCTTTCCTCGCCTTCCCCACCCCCTCACCTCCAGCTTGAACAGCCGCTCCACATCCAAGGCTTGACGCCTTTTCACCTATCCATCATGATGAAGCAAACAAAAGCCAGGGCCGTGTCAGTCTCCTCACATCCAAAGTCCCCTCCGCTGGACATGACAACCGTAGCAACAACTGCCCCACCTGAATCTTCACAAAGCAGCCCACCCTCAAGAATATTCGGTCTCCAAGATGCACCCTGTTATTACCCCACTCCCGAGGAGTTTATGGAGCCGCTCAAATTCATCGAGAGTATCCGTCCAGAAGCTGAGAAAGCTGGCATCTGCAAGATCATCCCACCTGAAGGCTGGAAGCCGCGGTTCTCACTGGACACTGAGGTATACAAAATAGACATCCAAGAGGATGTCTTTTTTTTTTTTTTTTTTTTTTGTGATTAGGTGTGATTCGTTCTGTTTTGTTTTGTTCAAGAGGCAATGGAGGCTTAAATTCTTTCAAAACAGATGCTTCGCAACCATGCTTTCTTCTAACATACTTGTCTTCCTGTTGAAACGACCATGGCATTAGGTGTTCCGTTTTAAAACGAGGATCCAGAAACTAAATAGCATGGAAGGCGAGACCAGGACCAACCTCAATTATTTAGAACAGCTGTACAAATTTCACCGCCAACAAGGACATCCCGTTCTTAAGATTCCACAATTGGATAAACGTCCGATCGATCTGTTCAGGCTCAGGAAAGAGGTTACAGCTCGAGGAGGATATCAAAAGGTATGAATGAAGGACAGAAGGGTAATTGTCCTTGTATTTATCTATTTATACTTCTAATCATGTTATGGGCATGAGGGAGGAAAAGGATATCACCGTTAAACGATTGCTGATGAGTATTAAAAAAATATAAAAAAAAAAAAAAAAAAAAAAAAAAAAAATGCTCATCGCCTTTCTCGATTAGGTCACAGCAGGGAAAAAATGGGCAGAAATCGGGCGCGGGCTTGACTATACAAGAAAGCAATGCACCTCACTTTCAAATGCCCTTAAATCAGCCTACCTCAAAGTCATCTTGCCATATGAGATTTATTTATCAAAACAGGGTAAAACTGCATCCGAAAATTTTCCAAATGATTTCAAGCGGGAATCGAGCTCAGATCCCACACCTCAAAGCTCACAGGATTCTCCCGCAGCCAGCGTTATTGCTATGCCTGAGACTCGAAAATCAAAACGGATTAAAAAAGATCCAGTGTCCTGTGCTGGTGAGTCTTCATTGTGAATACCGGAGAGCTACAGCTATCAAACAAGCAAAGACTCTACTCTGAATATATCGTTACTAATTCATAGATTCTGCTGAGCCTATTTCAGATTCGCAGCCGTCATCACCATCAAATTCGGAACGAACTTCGAGTGAACCACTATCAGTTAATCGCGGAGATGACGACGATGATAGCTCAGACGTCTGCGAGATTTGTCACAAGGAATGTGATCTGGACAGGATGCTTATTTGTGATGGCTGCGAGCTTGGATACCATACATACTGTCTCACGCCACCACTGCAAAATATCCCTAAAACGGATTGGTACTGTGCAAAATGTCTTGTGGCAGGCGACGATTTCGGTTTTGAGGAGGGTGAAGAATATTCTCTCCATAGTTTTCAACAAAAGTGCAATAACTTCAAACAGAGCTGGTTCGAAAAAGCTGGGTTCGAGGATGGCAAAGTACCTGAGGATACTGTGGAGCGCGAATTTTGGAGACTTGTTGAGAATGCATACGAGACTGTAGAAGTAGAATATGGTGCTGACTTGCATTCGACTCAGCATGGAAGGTGAGTAATTATCTATTCAACGGGCTAAAATACCATGTAAGAGCAAAAGGTGATGAAATTGAAAATTGACATTCCAGGGTATCTATTGTGTTTTAGTGGCTTTCCTACCTTGGAGAAACACCCAACAGATAAGTATTCAGCCCATCCAGCCAACCTCAACAACATCCCAGTGCTTCCTGAATCACTGTTTTGTCATATCAAAACGGATATTTCAGGAATGATGGTTCCTTGGCTCTATGTAGGCATGTGTTTCTCAACCTTTTGTTGGCATAACGAGGATCATTACACATACTCCATTAACTATATGCATTGGGGTGACACAAAGACCTGGTATGGGGTCCCTGCTTCAGATGCTCTCAGGTTCGAGGATACCATGAAGAAGGCTGTTCCTGAGCTCTTTAAACAGCAGCCTGATCTGCTGTTCCAGCTAGTAACTATGCTTTCTCCAGAAAGATTAGTTGCTAATGGCGTTAAAGTTTTGGCTCTAGACCAGAGGCCTGGACAGTTTGTTGTGACCTTCCCACAAGCGTACCATGCTGGGTTCAACCATGGCGTAAGCATCTTTATTTCTTTGAGATCTTTAATGATTTATCTCACATTGAGAGACCAACCAGCCCTAACGTCGTGTTGTGCTTGTTTGAAATGTTGAGGCTAGTTCAATTTCGCAGAAGCAGTCAATTTCGCGCCTCCTGATTGGTGTCAATTTGGACTGGAATGCGCCCAGCGCTATAAAGAACACCGTAAACACCCAGTCTTTTCACATGATGAGCTTATTTTAACCACAGCTCTCAATGACACAAGCATCGCTACTGCCTATTGGTTACAGGACGAGATGAGGAATCTTTTAGATCGAGAACTTGCGCATAGACAAGTTGTTTTAAAGAAATTCCCAACAATCAAAACACTTTTGGAAGAGGAGGATAGGCCAGAAGAGGAAATCCAATGTGTTTTTTGCAATGCATATATATATATTTCACAAGTTGGATGTCAATGCACAACCAAGGTCACTTGTCACGACCACATCAATGAGGTATGAATTATTTTGAATTGTCATAGGATATCATGGTGCTGTGCGCCTATATGACTAATTCCTAACATCTATTTGTTAATTTACAGCTTTGTAAATGTGATATTCATGGCCGATTCATGCGTCTGCGGTACTCGGAAGAAAAACTGAGAGAGATCACTCAAAGAATTATTGATACCGCTGCAATTCCGGATGCATGGATTGCTAAATACACTAAGATCATGATGGAGACCCGTGTGCCGTCTTTGAGGCTTCTTCGGTCGCTGATTAATGAAGCTGATAAGATACCATTTCCTATTGCAGAGGCTGCGCGCCTGCGGAAATTCATGGCTGTTGCGAATGAATGGGTTGAAGCCGCGACAAAAGTCCTGGTTCGGAAGCACTATCATCAAGGACGGAGGCTGACAGATCGTGCGCAAGGCTCAACCGGAAAACGACTGGAAGATCTCCAAGAGATGCTTCGTCAAGTCGAGCGTTTGCGATTTGACTGTCCAGAGATTAAGCAACTACAGGAATCGATTGAGATGATACAAGGCTTCTTAATGGATGCGCAGAGAGCGCTAAGCAAACCTGTGTATGACCTAACAGAGTGTCGTGAGCTTTACGAGACTGGAGTCAGTATGAATATTACTATGGACGAAATTGACCAGCTGGAAACAATTGTAACAGACCTTACTTGGATCGAGCGAGTGTCTGCAAAGGGAGTTCTTCAAGAAGATTTTCTACTGATTTGCAGTCTGATTGAGGATGCAGAAAGGAGTGGTGTTTCGTCGTCCAATCCGCTTTTAAAAGACCTTATCAAAAAGAGAAAAGCAGGCATAGCATGGGAAGAACAAGCGAATGAAATCCTCAGCAAGAACCCAATAGACCTCGATGAACTGCAGGCAGTCATTGAAACTGGGCGAGGCTTCCCGGTTCCTAGGAATGTTCTTTCTAAGGCAGAACATCTTCACAATAAGGCAATGGAATGGCAAAAGACTGTGGAGCACCTCATTACAAAGTCTGCAGAGCCCAAGTACGAAGATAGGCCGCTTATATCGGAACTGAAGCGAGCATTGAAGATCGTCGACAGTCTTCCCATCATTATGGAGCACAAAGACATGTTTGACAAACAGTCAAAAAAGTTTGATGATTGGTTTGCGAAATGTCAAGAGCTCTTATTGCCGTCTAGTTCGAAAAAGTTTGTTGGAATCGAACTGGAAGAAACTCTCGAGGACATGAAGCAAAATGTAGAAGCCTGCACAGCTGACGAGAAGACACCAATTAAGCAAGCAATTACATCGAATGGAGACACGGGAATTGCCACGATGGCGTCTGACATAAACGATGTCTCTTTAGACTATAAAAATGAGGGACGCTTATCTTCGGTTCACGGCGAGTCCAGTAGAACACACATCTTACTAAAAGAAAACCAAAGTCAGCCAAAAAAATCAATGGAATCAGGCGAAATGAGTAGTATGGATGAAGACATTCCTGCGACAACATCAAGATCACAGAGTAAAGAGCATTCAGGACCAGAAGCCTCGAGCGACCCTGAACGTGAGGACCAGATTTATTGCTTGTGCCGCACATCCGAGTCTGGCATGATGGTAGAATGTGATGAATGCCACGAATGGTATCATGGCCCTTGTGTCCGCGTTACGAAACGTGAGGCCAACACAAAGTCCAACTATATTTGCCCTATTTGCAACTTAAGCCTGGTTATTCGACGCGACAAACCTCGACCCACATTAGAACAGCTTGTTAAGATCTTAGAAGATGCGAGGGAACTTCGCTTTTTCACGCCAGAAGTCCCCCTGCTTGAATCAATTGTCAATATGGCAATGGCATTTAAGGATCGAGTAGATAAGTTCTTAAAGAAGGATGTCATTATTCAGGAGAATATCCTCGAAGTCAAGGCATACCTCCGTAAGATTGAAGGCCTCGAGATTGACCTGCGTGAAGAGCGTGATGCCCTTCGAATGCACGTTCTTCGACTCTGCCCATCATCTATGCCCGTCCCTTCAGTTGTACTTTCAACCTACCCCACAGCTCCAGAGCTGTCAACTATTAAATCACAATGCATCTGCAACCAACATGCATCCTTGGGACCTTCAACAGTAGTGGATATACAGCATGAAGGTGGCGAAGCCATGATCCAATGCGGACTATGCAATGAATGGAACCATACTATATGTGTTAGTCTCGATCTGGAGCAAGTACCGAAGTTAACTCGATTCATATGCCCTGTGTGCATGATTATACGAAAGAAGCAATATCCGCATGGACTTGTACATTATCCTGGAGAAGGTAAAAGAACATGTCGCTGATAAAAACTTAAACACTTATGCGCTCTTTTCTGGCGACTAACTCTCGTTTAATCTTTAGTACAAGCGAGAGCAGCAGCGCGTGTCCAAGCCGCTAAGGATGCAGGCGATGCAAAGAAAAAGAAACGTAAGCCTAGTAGAGATGCTATTGATCCGAATACCGGAGTTGCTCTTCCAGCACCATCGGGTACAGAGGGAAAGAAGAAGCGCCCGTATAAAAAACGAGAGAAGACGGAACTATTAAAAAACGACGAGAAAGTGTCAATTAAGCGCCGCAAGTCTTCTGGAGCGCAGTCGATTATTTCAACAGTCTCGACTGATACTAATGGATCGCCAACAACGCTTCCATCGTTCAGTGAAGGATTTTCATTTCCTCACGACAGTCCTTCAACTTCTTCTCATTCACCACAGCAACACTCGCACCAGCATATTCCACCCTCACAGAGGGTTCCATCGCACACGTTACCATCTTATCCAAGCGTACATGGATTACCACTTCAAGCGGCCCCTGTATCATCTCACTATCACACATCGTCACCTCAACAACATCAATATGTTACCTCCCCTTCTCTAACCAACGGTACATATCGACCATATCAACCTTCGGCGGCAATCCAGGGGCATGCGCCTCAACATCCTCTCTCTCGAGGTCCATCACAATCCAATACATACTCTTATCCCCATTCGCACCCACATTCTCCGCCTCCGTCTTCACATATGCGCTCCCATGCACATTCACCTCCAAGTCATGAACAGAATTCTGGAACACATATCTACGGAGCCCACTCGCTTGGTTCTGTCCGACAAGGGCATTATTCTCCCTCGTCCCATGATCACCATCATTTTAGTTCAAGTAAGAATGACCGGTGTACTGATATTTTGCCGCACCCAGTCAGAGATGATCTCTATAATGACCGACATTCGCGCTATGTGCACCATCGCTCATCATTGCCTCCTACAGCGCCTTCTCATGCACGTTCGTATTCCGGATACAGTAATAACAACAATGGACCAGCTAATTCATCTCTGCCCTCGGTTCTACCGCCCATGAAAAATCATCACCCTGCTTCTCAAGTTCATGGACTTGTTGTTTCGTCCGAAACAGAAGCAGGAGGGGGGACGGGCGGAATTATCATTGTGAAGGATGGTTTTTTACCATTGGAAACAGGGAGCGGTGGCGAAACAGAGACGGATGATGATGAAACACATCCTGTAGCCTCCACTGTTGGTCCATAAATATGGCCATAATAATTTGGAAATGAGCTGAATTAAGTAGTAGAACTGCATCATATACATTGTTATGTTGCCTATGTGTTTATGCCCTCATTTTGAAAAGTGTATTATATATTAAACATATTCTTAATGATCTTTGAGATGCGCCATGTAAACGTCGTATTAATCAAATTCATTAAATAATGATGACGGTTTGGTTCTGGATAAATCCATGCAAACGTCTTTTTTTCCTACTTTCACTTCTTTTCTCTGGCTGAAGATTGCGTCCTCCCAGATAAACTTCCAGTACGTACTTCTTTGTCAAATATTGGTGTAAATCTCGCATGAGATGTGTCAGTTATTACAAAAATAAAGCCTACTGAAAGGATTGCCAATAATCAGTATTTCAGCCTCCAGTTGTGGTTTTTGTCGTGATGAAACAGGCTTTGGATCAACAAGCAACTGTATCTATGGTGTTTTATTTCCGAATAGCTTATAGAGACCAACCGAACAACCACCTGGGAAGCTTGACCATAATTTAAAATAGTTGAAGGCATCTATGGTTCATGCCTCCGTCTTTTAGTCTCTTGCATTTGAACTATAGAGCTCCGATCATGAGCTTGTTTTCGAACGTGCGGCTTGTCTTTCTCTACACCAGTGTCATCCATACTATTCTCCTCATCAATTTCTTGTGGACCATCGCTTGATAATTGATCGTCCTCGCAACTCTGCCCATTGCCTCTGTGTGGTTGTGCAGATTGTTGCTGCTGCTGCTGGGAATAGTGTTGATCATGTTGGTAATGATGATATTGCTGCGATTGCGGTTGCTGTTGTTGCTGTTGCATTGGTTGCTCTTGAAGATGAAGATGTTGGAGCTGGTGCTGAGTTTGGTGTGCTTGAAAACGGGATGGAGGGCTCTGATGGCGGCTCTGTTGCTGCTGTTGATGTTGTGAGGGATGATATTGAGGCTGTACTTGTATTTGTGCTCGCGTCTTCGAATCGACATCCATGTGATGATCAGTTGACCGGTTCCTTTGTCGATCTGATTCTTCCTCCTCCAACAATTCATCCTCATCTTCATGCTCGTATTGGGACTCCATTATTTCACCCTCCTTGCTTGGGTCTGAGACGGTCAAAGGGAAGGACATCTCCAGTCGACACTCTTCTCCTTCACGAACGTATTCAGCAATAACGGTAATCGTACAAGATTCGTCCTCGGGGCCAGGGGTACCCTTGAGTTCACCCTTGTGCCATTTCAGCCATGGTGGAAGCCAAGGACTACTAAATTTGGCAGCCGGACCTGAAAATCATAAAAAAGAGGAACGATAAGGAACAACATCTAAGTGTGAGATATTCCGATAAGAACAAGATAACCCAGAATAAAAGTTCAGAAATACTTACATGACATCTGAGCATCCCAGATACGAGGCGAATATACATAAGGGACACCAACTCTAGCAAATTTGATAACCTGTCCTGCAATTCGACTCGAATACTCACGGAACTCCCACCGCACAGGACTGGTCTGCTTTCGGACCACGCCCATGCCTCCGCCTGCGGCAGCAATGGATTCAGGTCCAGTATTATTGTCGTGGTTATTATTAATGTGGTTGTTATTATCGCTGTTGCCATCATTGTTGTCATTTGATGATAAATTCGAAATCTTTCGAGCTTCAATGTTCCAGACATGATTTCCCTTAGATTTTTGTTTCTTGCCATCTTCATTGAATCGAGATATGTACCGATGTTTCCATAGATAGACTTTGACTTTTCGAAGTGGAAGGATATCCTCAGTCAGACCGTTCGCTATCAGATCATCATGGAATGCATTCGTGAATGCTTGGATCCGGAATTTGAATGGGCGGAAGTCCGTCGACATTTCGAGACGCTCCATTTTCTTAGCCATTAATGGTTGATGACTATATTTTTTTTTAAAGAAAAAAAAAGGCGTAAGTGAGAGCTCAAGACTTTAGAACTTAAAAATATTTGATTAACGAAAACTAACAATAATCATGAACGGCTTCGACATCCTTAATCAAGAAGATCGTATTACTTACATGTGGTCACCCTTTGAATCGCAAGCATTTACTATTAGTGCATGAAAACAAAGGGATTGAGGAATCAGAAGATGCATAATAGGGTTCCAAAAAAAAAAGGGTTAGCAAAACAAGAAAAAACTATATCATGTCCTTTCTTTTTGTTGTTATCGTTGTCATTGTTGCTCTCATCCTGCATGAACTGCAGCTTTGTTTGTATGCCCTTTTTTTTATGTAGGGTAAAAAAACGGAAAGAAACAATAAACACACTCCCCCCGTTTTCATGGCAATGAAAAATCTTACAATCAGAGCAAATGCGCTGTAAAAACTTGAAGAAAATATCATCTAACTTGGTCACGACTTCGGGCTCGAGCGGTGCATGGAACTGAGTCCGTGAGCCTGTGTTGTCAGTACGCTGCGTAGAAGTCGCCATTCCCCCTGTCGCTGTGATTTCGCGTTTACCACTACTGCCAACATTACTGCTTCCAGTATTGATACGCGTAGATGTGGATATCGTTGATCCGATGAAAGTAGTCGTAGCTGCTCCTAACGTAGTTTTAGAAGATGTGGAGGATGCAGAAATATTTGATTCTCTCAGAGAAGCCCTTCCTGAAATGGTGGTAGAAGTTACAGCGGCAGTATCATTGGTCAAAGTGGCAACTATAGAAGTGCTTGACAGATCACCAGAAGAAGCAAATGTTCTGATCTCTCTATCTTTATAATCTTGGACCTGTGGGTCAGTATTCAAAAATGGAGGCAGAATAGCCCGAGGATCTGCTTGAGGGGATGGGCGTGTCATATGATGGTGCTGTGAGGAGGGCTGCCCTTGATGATGGTCACTATGATGCTCCGAACTCTCTAGACGATGCCCCTCGATCGAATGTCGATTGTGATCATAGTGCGAAGAGTGGTCGTGTGACGAAGGAGGATGTTGAATATGATGCTGATATCGAGGGCGTTGTGATCGGTATGGCGATTTTTGATAGTTGTGATGATGCTGGTCAGAATAATATTGAGTTGGTGATGGTGGGGAATGCGGACGATAATGATGTCCATGAGGCTCTGATGCGTGACGATGATTACTATTGTATAATGACGCAGTGCTTCCGTGGAAGCCATTAGGGTACTGGGATGAAGTTGGATTATGATATTGCGAGTTCTCATGGTAATATTGATGATGATGTGGTAGAGGGTGCTCAACTGTAGTCGGTGATTGATGAGATGAATGGTAACTTTGGCCCTGAGACAAGGATGTGCGACCCTGATGGAACGTTGACTGGGTTGGCCCGGATGAAGGCGCACCAATTATTGATGGAGTCAATTGGCCTACATAGTCAGAAGAGATGGATACATGAGGAGTTCCGGGAGGCGGGGCAGAATGTTGCTGGTATTCATCGGCACTCTCATGCAAGTAAGGCCGACCATTACTAATAACGTTGATGCTATGGATGGCACCATTCACGCTGGTGGCAGTGCTCAATAACTGATGGTGTGCTCCTATGCCTTCTGCCCGTTGCTCATGAGGATGCTCGCTCAAGTCTTCTGGTGGATATTGATATACTTTTCTGGGCGTAGGTAGGCTGCATGCTGATTCAGAGCCTGATCTAGACTCTGGTCTAGATAAAGGTCCAGATGGAGGAGCTGTTATTGTTGTGTTACCCTTTACTTGTGATGAGGACAACGGTCCCGGAGATCGCGGACTTTTGAAGGATGAGGAGGCTCTTTTGTAGGATGATAAATGCGTTGTTTGAATAGGATGAGGGATTATCGATCCATTTGGCCACTCTCTTCCTCCTCCTCCTCCTCTGCGACCTAGTCGCTCCTGACACCCAGTTTGCATTTGAGAAAACCCCACTTGACGCTGCTCATCGTGACTAGATGAGCGCTGTTTAAAAGAACGAAAAACCAGAACACAGACACAAACGAGGAAGGAACAAAGGAAGAGAAAGGACAGGAATGACAAATATCAAGTAGAATGATGTTAATACCGAATGAACAGTGAATGCAACGACCGAGGCCTTGCAGAGTCGAGATAGAGGGTATTTGAAAGGAAATTAAGGGAGTGGGGCCCAAAAAAATTGTGTTTCTGCATATATCATTTATAAATATATTTGTCGATAATGTATCAGGTAAAGTAAAGCAAGATCGGGTGCTATTCTTGTTGGTCTATGCTCATTAAAATGCAGAGAGAGGGGCGAGATTGTTGACAGAATCCAACCAAATGTGGTCCTTGTCCCTTGCTTTCTTTTATAAGCGAGAAAACAACCAACTGGTGGAAAAAAGTACAAATACAAGATTATAAAAAAAGAAGCAAGGAGTGCTCATGGAGGGAGAGACTCTAAGACTGGCTTGCATCGATTGACAATAGTTAAGGTGATAAACTCTTAAGGTAGCGTGTTTTGAGGATCGAGAGCACAAAAAAAAGAAGGGGAGGAGGTAAAGGTTGTCAGAAAGCAATTTTTAACTTGCCTGCTCGCGTTCACTATCATTTAACAGACGTTCCAGGCGCTCTACAGTTATTTTAGCGTCTTGCAGCAGATGGAGGGTATCGGATATGGAGCCTTGAGAATAACACAACCTTGCATTGTGCGAACAATCCACAAGACTTGAAATATTTTATAAAAATAAAAAGTAAAAAAAATCGCCGAGATGCAACGGTTATTATACAGTGGAAGTAATTCGCCGAGGCACCGCCATAAGGTCAAATGCATATAATGCATCATATGGTAATACTATTGAATATCAATGATCTTCATCTTTGTGAATTAAGGTAAAAAATTGCTTGTTGGAGGGACATTAATGACAAATTTTACCTGGTGAAGAGGGAACTCAAACTGCCAACTGGTGAATTCATTTGAGATGATTGTTGGACGGAACAAGAAGAGCTTTAAAAGAAATAGTGAACTAGTGGATTACCGAGCTGTGGAGATGAGAGCTATCCAAGAAATGGGGTGACAACAGGTGGGCTGTGCAGAATGTTGATGAAAACAAAAAAAAAAAAAAAAAAAAGAGATCCAGAATAAATATTTACAGACCCATTTAGTTGAATGAGAATACTTAATTTACTACAACAAAATAACGTTTTGCTGGGAAAATGTAAAGAAAAGAAAAAGAAGCGTCAGGAACATCCAGGAATAGCACATGAAAGGCTTTCTTCCCAGTCTGGAAAGAGAAAAGGAAGAAAAAAATGAAGGGATGGGAAGGAGAGAGGAGGAGAGAAGGAAGGAGAGAAGAAAAGAAATCAAAGACACAGACATTGAAATGTCTTTGATTTAGCATTGCTTTAAAAGTCTTTTTTTTAGCCAGCAGATCAAAATTCGACACCATTGCATTGATGATAAGCAAGGGGGTAAAAAAGGAAGCAAACATCAAAGTCCTGTTGACGAGAAGACGTGAAAGAGAACAAAGTGAGAACTGAGATAGAACTCACCTTTGGATTACAATAATAAAAATAAATGCTATCGTGAAGAATAATACAATGATGAAAGAGTCACAAGTAATAATCGATAAATGAAAATATAGTCGTGGTGATGGTGAGATCCGATTACGAAGTATGAAAGAAACTCAGTAAGGAGAAACAAATGAATGTCATAAACTGAACGTTAGCAAGTAGGGAAAAAAAGAGAAAGAGAGAGAGAGAGAAAGGGAGAAGAATAAAAAGAAAAGAAAAGGGTGTACAATCAAAACTTGACGTTCTTCTCTCCCTCCTCCCCTTGATTGATTTCGAGGAAAAAAAGATAAAAGAAAAATAAGGGTGTGAAAGAAGAAACGAAAGAGTGCGAGTATATAATATGCAAATGGCTTTTCTTTTTCTTTTTCTTCTTAGTGCTGCCTCGTGTGAGAATATGTCATATCTCTATCCATTCGAGTATGGACAAGAGGAAAAAAGAAGAAAAAAAAAAGGGTTTGTGTTTCTGTGTATGAAGGTTGACTTGGGTTAGGTTTGGACGTGAGAGAAGAAAAAAAGAGAAAGTATGAGCAGAAAGGGGTTTGGGGGAAGAAGTGGAAATGGAAAAAAAAGAAAAGAAATAATTAAATAAACAAACTAATTGAATCGAAGGTATTCATTCGATAAAACAGAATTAAAGGGCACAACAAACAGAGGCGGAAAGAACACAGTTCTGTTTAATAAATATAAAAATTGAGCACTCGTGAACAAGCAAACAAACATCTCAAAAAATATGTAGTCAGCAATAAAATTATTAAACTGGTCGGAACCCTTGTTACCAAGCCCAGTACAAAAAAAAACACGCCATGATCTCCATCCCCCGCCACCCTTTACTCATTGGATACAGTCTCTCCCTTATTACGTTCATTTAATTCTGTGAAACTCCTTGCAATCCCTCTCTGCGACACTCGAATTGTCGCCGAGGTGGCAACCTATAGGAACACACAGGGAGGCCAAACTTTTTAAATTTTCAATTTACTGCGAAAAAGCACAAGGAGAGTCCACGCTGCATTCTCTTATTAGACAGGTGCATGGATGAATTCTATTTTTTTATTTTTTATTTTTTGCAAGTTAATCTTGATTGGTACAGTTCCCAAGTACGCAACCGAACACTACCCGACAATGTGCAGGTCATCAAAACATAAAAAAAACAGAAACAACACAATCGCGCCTGATCTCCGCTAAATAAGGCAAGTTTAGGCAATTGTTGTATAAATTATATATAATATGTTTCTCGATGTTTTTCGTAACAACCACATTCGACCACCCAGGAATGTGAATGATAAGGGAGGAAAGGAGGCGTAGCACTATTTAAATGTAAGAATATTACTTTTTCCTTCTTTGCCTCAACTCTTTATGTATCAAAAATACAAAGAAATTATTTCCATGCTGACACCAGCTCCAGTGAATTGGATAGGCTAATAATCTTGGGAACTCAAAATCTTCTGGGTTCATTATATTGGGCCCAGGAGGGCCCAAGCTGGTATGATTGGCTCTCGAGACAAAAACTGAAAGCTGTACATTTCTTTTGTCATCATTACCCTCACATTCCTCTAAATGCCACTGATAGTCTTGAAGATATTGTAAAAAAGTAAAAGGTGGCTAAGAGCGTTTTTTTCTTTTTTTTTTTTTACTCCGCCTTTGACGTCTCGAATGCTATCCTACTTTTGCCCCTAAGGTAACAAGAAGAAAGAACAAATTTATCTATCCTGCTCTTTAAACAGATTCATCAGATCAAAACCTACTCGAAAGGACACAGACCAAGGAGGAGACATGCTCAGAAAAAGAGTAAGGTTTGGTGCCAGATGCTTTGCTCAGCAACGCCATTCAACTCAAAAGTGTATTCTCTCACGAGATAAACTGTAACTACATCCCTTTGCCATGGATCCGATAGATTCATCAACAAACATGCTTATTCATATTTGCTCATTTGAACCAAATGCTCACAAAAAAAAAACAATAACGGTTCTCTAGTTCTCTCAACGTTACTCGAAGAGAGCCCCAATGCAATGCTTCCTGGTCTCCGTCCCCCCCCCTTTTTTTTTTTTTGTTCTGAATATCATCACTATTTCATCTATTTCTGCCTGCATATCTGTTATCGATCTCAATGTGGCAAAAAGGCGCTCATCTTTTCCATCATTTCAGTACAGAACCGCATCAGACGGACTTCTATGTCCGATCTTCCTTTTGGGAGGCCCTAAAAAAAAGGACTCTCAATCTGCTGCATCCAGAGTTGCATGACAGTGTTATTTCTCACAAAGCAAAGATGAGCAGTTGCATCATCTATAAACCTAACCCCAACTTACATTGAACATGTACCCCATTTTATCTGACCAATACCCAGGACAAGAAAAAAGAAAGGCATATAAATACACGGTGCACAGAAAAAAAAAGGGGAAGGGTTCTTCCGAAAATTGTGCACCTGAATTCAGGAAAGATTTATGGAGCAAAATAAGCAAGGGATATATATATATATATATATATATATAATAAAAAGTATACATGTCGGAAAGGAGTGTAAGAACTTTTGCAACGGGAGGCGGGTCTACGATCTTCGTTTGTAAACCATTATTGATCCCCACTCCCCTCGCCATTAGGTTATTGTGTTTTAATTGCTTATGAACCTGTAAAAGCGTTTCCAAGAACTTTTTTTTGTTTATAGTGATTCCACTTTCCAAGAACAGAAGAGCAAAACGGGGTAATAAGACCCGTGATCTCATAGAGTATAAGATTGGGGTACTACAACAAACTCCTGTAAAGTGCTCAAAATCATGTTAAATAAAAGAAGCGCCAGTGGATTTGTGAGGACCAGTCCGTCAGGATTAGTTTCAAATTCTCTTATCCTTCATTGACCTTCTCTGGTTCAAATACTACCTGCCATAACAACATCTGTTTGCGTGTGCAAAAACCCCCTCGTACTGCCCACCAAAATCTTGCTATGCTCATTTTCCTCAATGGATAACTTATTTGAGGCAGAAGAAGGGACATACAGAGAAGGTTTGTATTAGCAAACAACGTTAGAAACTGATTAACTGCTTCTCTCATTGAAGACATGGTATATATTAGTATACTCCATCCTTGCAACTTTTTCATGCGATTGTAAGTTTATTGATGAGTATTTAGCGGTTACGTGTCACCACTTTCCTTTTTGAACTTCGTTCTCAGAAGAAATTCAATGCACGTATTCGATGTAAACAAAGGAGCCAGGTTGGTGGCGCTTCGTTCTTGAAAAACCTAGAAACTTTTTTGCAAAATACAGTCAGCAATGGCTGACCAAAGAATTAGGGGCTTGTTTACTAACCATGCATTGTTTCTATGACAAGCATGCAGGATCATCCTTGATTGACCCCTATCTTTATGTGATGTTTTATTCGCTCCTCTGTCATATGTCATGACCAAAGATTCTTTGACAGCCATTTCCTCCTCAATTCCTTCTCTTTGGTGTTCTCGTGGTCTTTTTTTTTTCCTTCACTTCCGTCATATTGTGTTCTGCTCCAGCTCTCCGATCCATTTACGTAGCGGTAAGCACTATAAAAACCACAAAGACAGCCTTTTTCTTTTTCATCTCATCTTCCATTCGACTGACACTATTTGGAAAAGAATTCAAATCTCTCCTGTCGATAAATGTCTTTCGCTGATATTGAACGCAATCTCCGGACGCCACCAGTCTCTCCAAGCGATCATTATGGCAATATTGACAAGGATACTATCTTCACATCGACTTCATCAGCTACGACATCGAGCAAAATGAAGGTGCATCACTCTTCAGTATTACCACCCATTAAGCTTCCCAGCGGTTTTCCAATCGTCGCTAGTGGAAGTAGTCGTGACAGTATCGGTTTAAATTTCGCATCGCCACAGCAACTCCCAGTTAAGAGTCCGCATACCCAGCCTCTTCATCCACCCCCAGTTTCGCCTAAACGAAAGTCTAATAATCTTATGACACAACACTCTCGATTTCTGGAAGATAATACAAGGTTTGATACTCCTCGGCCAAATTTGACATCGTCAGCAGCCATAGCAGCGAGGAGTGATAGTAATAACTCTTCAGTGAGGACGCCAACAGCTACTACAGCGATTACTCGGTCGCCACACACTGTCGCTACATCGATCACTCGTCCGAACAACAGGATTTTGAAAGACCATAGACCCAGCGATATGGACCGACGACAGATGCTATCGCCTCCAACTAGTCCAATTCAGGCCTCCTTGCTTACAACTGCAAATTCTCTCAACAACAACCAATATCAAGGGTTTACCAAGGTCGATAATCTTGAGCCAGCTAATCTAAGGACAACTCAAAAGACATCAATTAACGAAAACAGTAACAGCACCGACAATAACACAAATAACGCGAGCGACACAATCATTAACATAGAGTCTTTTCCATCGTCATCGTCATCAATCTTACCATCCGCCAATCCCACTACTATTACGACTACCAAAACACCTAAACCAGCAACGTCATCAACATCGTCATCTTTGTCATACTATTATCCCATCCCCACTTTAGCCTCGATTGAAAGCCAGGACTATGACTATGATATGTTGGTTCGCCACGTGTCTCAACAAATCTTCAATATTTCATCCAATATTGCGGTGCTGGAGCGCTTAGTCCCATGTATAGGTCAGCGACACAAGGACACGATAGAGATGCGATCCAGCCTGCATGCAGGGTTGGATTCGACTCAAGAGCTGGTCAAGTCTGCACATAGCCAGATCAAGATTTTAGCTCGATACCATCAACCACCCATGGCAGGTCCTCCATCAACTGTTGGGATCAGAGTGCAACCCACGGTCGCTCCCAGTGAATTGTCATCTTGGCAACGTAAAGTCTTGGCGAGCCGACGACAAACACACCAGCGGTTAACAAAAGACCTCAGTTTGGCTAGCCGATCGTTCCAGGAACTTCAGAAACAAGCTGTGGAGGCCGAGCGGCATCAAGTAACAACATTGAGACGGCTTTCAGGTAGTGCCTCCTATCGACGGTTAAGCCAACGTCGGTCAGATCTCATGGATTTATCGCAAGAGGAGATTGAGGCTGGAGCTTTGTTAGATAAATCCCTGTCCTCTACGAGGCATGGTATTAGCAGTAGCAGCAGTGATAGCGCCCGTATTAGTCATAACGTCGCGAGTGGATACGGAAGTATTGGCGTGACGCCTTATACGATCCACGACCGTGAGCTGTCTCTGCAGGAAGAAGCGCTCTTGCGAGAGATCCTAGCGATTGATGGTGAGCTCGTCTTCCAGGAGAGTATTCTTCAAGAGAGAGAGATAGAGATCCGAAAGATTGAAGAGAGTATGGGTGAAGTGATGGATGTGATGAGAGAACTAGGCACATTGGTTCACGAACAACGTAGTGATGTTGATTATTTGCATGATAACATCTTGCAGACACGTGGACGCATCCAATTAGCCCAACAGGAAGTCCTCAAGGCAAGCGAATATCAGCGTCAATCCAGAGAGAAGCTCTGCTATTTGATCATGATTGTCAGTGTCGTTGGTGCTTTGGTCATGTTGGCGTTCGTCAGCACATGAAAAACTTTATTATAATTTTCGCTATAGTTATCTGCTTTCTTTCCACCCTTTCTTAAGAAACATGATACAAGTCTAATCAAGCAAATACATTTAATACATCATATAATAATAATGATAACGATAACGATAATAAAACCCTCTCTACACAGTGAGGCGCTGTAAGTAAGTATATACTAATGCTACTCTCGCTATTGTTATTACTGCTGTTGTTGATGTTGTACTGCCTGCTGATGACTCCTGTCTGTTATGAAAGTTGGAGCTGGCATGAATCCATTAATAGACTGCTGCACTCCTCGTTGTCCCTGACCATCCAATGACGAATGTCGAAGCGTAGGCATTGATGATCGCCTTACGCGGCCTAAACCAGGAATGTCGTCCTCACCCCAGCAACTGGATGTACTCTGTACATGATAAGGATGTGAACTGTTAGAAGATACCCATCCGAGAGGAGGCCCTTGGAGGCCTTGATAACTGGACACTATTTGTGGAAGGTTCCCTATCGAGTGTAGCTGCCGTTGCTGTAGCGGTTGTTGTTGTTGCTGCTGATGTTGCTGATGTTGTTGCTGCTGCTGCTGCTGTTGTTGTTGTTGTTGTTGTTGTTGTTGTTGTTGTTGTTGTTGTTGTTGCAACATAAATGGCCGCTGCTCAATAGTGCTGGCATGCAAACCATGCGAAGGGCCTATTGGCGGTATGACTCTTGGGTGGCTGACTGTACCTTGCGCGCCTGTTCCAAATGATGCATGCGTGTTCTGTAACTTTAGCAAGTCGTCTTGATTAGGAAGAGAGGTCTGTTGTGTGTAAATTATTGGCTGGGGTATTGAAAAGAACTGTGCAGGAGGAGTGGGGAGCGCACAGCTGACAGGAGTAATGGAGCTGGCGTTATTCGTCATCGAATCTATATCGCCATAATAAAGTGGAAGGTTTCCCATTCGGATCAATGGCATATCTTTATATTTAATGCAATGCATATACTAGCAGCTCAACATTGCATGCCCTAGTAATTCTAAATATCCTCTTTTACCTAAAAAAGTGCTCTGAGGCTGCGGTAACTGGATGCTTACAGGTTTGGTGGTGGCAGAAGGATGCGAGGTCGATGTTGGAACCACATTAGGGGGGACCATACCCAAAGATATCGACGGATTGGCGCCAGTTTCCTCGTTTAAGCCTTCAATGGCATTGGTCATTGAATTGACAGCATCTGCAAAATTTTCGTTCTGCTGCTGTTGATGATATATCGCCTTCTCATGCTGTTGCTCATGGATTTGGAGGGCTTGGCGGCATTGCATCAGCGCTTTGCGCTCCTCCCGTTGCCGCTGTTGCTTGATTTGATCCAGCTTATATGCTATGTTTCCTTTAGTACGATGACTCTTGCCGCCACTCGTATTTCGAGGATGATATTTTGGTCTGCTAACCGCAGCCCTCTCGTGTTCGCCATTAGGCCCTAAATTCGGGAATGTGGAAAGGTTCATCAAACGCGCCGAAACTTCTCTGGTTATTGACTGGTCGAGACCTGGCCCTATCAAGCCTCCCATCATACTGGAGGAATATGCTGGCGCACCAACGGTGATACTAGAAGAGGAAGATGGAGGGCGCGGCGAGGCCCCTGCACATCCTTCCTTATGCTCATTCAGACCCATTTCCATTTCAATGGCAAGCTTGCGAAGATGTTGATTTTCTGCCCTGACCAGAGCCATGATCCGGTAGACTTCATCCAACTCCTCGGCTTTGCTCTCAAGCCATCTGATGTACTGTTGTTTCCTTTGGCGGAATGCACGTTGTGCAGCTCGGTTTTGCTCGGCCCTCTTGATCGCTGGATCCTCCGCATCTCCTGTGTCTGATGATACGCCACTGGCTGCAGTCGAGGCTTTGTTGTTCATGAAGAAAGACTGCAAATATGGTTGAACTTTCCTAGCCTCCTGGAAAGTATTGTTCATGTGCGCTTGTTGAATGATGTCAACGTCAGAAATTAATGAGCACTGAGAGTTCTGAGGAGATACAACGCTGTTGAGTGTCGACAGGGAATTGTTTATTTCTTGACTGGATATACAATTCTGCTGCCCATCATCCAATATTAGAGCATGTGGTGTAGCAGGCTTGGAGCTTTCAGAGTTAGAAAAATCTGCTACGCTTAGATCCGCTGATGAAGATGGGGATGGTATCGCTGTTAAGCTAACTCGATCTGATGGATACATGTCGATGGATAAACTCTGAAACCCACCTTGTTTGGGAAATTGCTGGTAAGCAGCGCTCAAGCCCTCGTATCCACTATATATTGCGCCAAACGGCTTCTCGGCTCCAACTGAAAGACATCCCAAGTCCTCATCCATAAATACTTGATCTGCTTTAGAGAGTATTGAGATTATAAATACTCGTTAAGACCCAAGAGCTTTTAAGGCAAAGGGATTGCTGTAATCTCCTTTTAAAAATTTTTAAATTTGGTGGCAAAAGAAAAAGGCAAGCGTTTGGACCCACCTTGACTGGCTATTCGCTTTGTCATTGGATTTATTGACAAAAATATTATAATCTGTATCTCAGGAAGTGTACAAGCTGCCTATCACGAACTTCGGCGTGAAAAATGACAAAGAAGATAGATCTAATAATCTCAAGGATTGAAGGGACAGAAGAATTTTGTCTGGACGACGTTGGAAACTCGTACTTGAAATTCTAAATGCGGCTTAAGATTCGAAACAGACGAGTACCGAAAATAAAAAAGGCGGGTAGGCACGAGCTATTTCATGAAAAATTAACTAAGACAGCAAGATCTTCATTGTTAGATCCAAGCTCTTTGGACATTCATGAGTGACTTGTGATTTGAAAGTTTAAAAAAAGTGTGCATGAACGAATGCATGTTGTATGTTTGTATTCATTTATGAATGTGCAGGTACATTCTGAGATGCAAGGGCAGGTTGATCTGCGCATGCACAATTTTTTCTAATTGAGGGTCCCGTTTCTTCTCGATGCTCAACCCAGATTTTCAAACGCTGCCTGTGCGCAAAGAGCAAGACTGTCACCGTGCGTTCTGTGCACACACAAGAAATTGTCCAGCACAACAAATAAAAGATACCCGCCCATCTTGAGACGAAAAACAAGATGAGGTGTGTATGAGGGTATGTAAGTAAAAATGAAAAGTATCCTGCTGAAAAGCCCTTTTCTTTCTTTCCTTTTTATTTGTGTGCCGTCTGGTGTTTGGCGCATGTATGCCCTTCTATTGCCATGGTTTTGGCAACATTGTAAGTGACAACCTTGTTTAGGAAAGAAACAATTATGCCTTTGTTTAACATTGGGTCATAGCAGTTTTGGATCAATGCAATAGCTTCAAGTACGGACGAATTGGAATATCTCAGTACGAAACGAAGGGGCTTCGGTAGAAGGTGAGCTCATGTTAAGAGAATGAAGAATAAGGAAGAAGCACTAGTCATCATTGATAAAATTCTGAACTTTACAGTGCTGAAATAAGATAAAGTAAAAAGAAGAAAAAGAAGAGAGATGGAAGGTCGGATGAAGATCCAGAAATGTATAAAAATGTAAATAACTGACATATAATAGTACCGTTGTTTAGATTATGATTTATGCGCGAAAGATTCTTCAATAGTGTGGTTGGTTCCTATGAGCGTGCGCGAAATGAGAGTGGCGGAGAAGGAGTGGCGGAGAAGGAGTGGCGGAGAAGGAGAGGTGGAAAAAAAAGATAGGAGGGGATGATGAATTGAGTTTTAAGAAGTGACAAGAAGAAGAAAGAACAAAAACTACTTCGGTTACATCAGAGACAAAAAGAACTCACACACGTCAAAGAAAGGAAAAAAAAAAAAAAAAAAAAAAAAAAAAAAAGAGGACTGTACCACTCTTGAGAAGGGCAAGATGAGGTCAATGAGGCTTATGGTCAGGTGAAAACCGTTCCAGTAGAAAGGGAAAGACGACGAAGATGCGGCCTTGAGCAACAGGCGTAAAAGTTGCAACGCAGCAATGCGAGTATGATGAAATTGGGTTGCAAACAATGCCTGTTTAAAGAGCTGTAAGGGTATGGGACGGGACGAGTACCAATGGTTCGCGACAAGAACGCTAAGAAGCAGTGTTTGTGAGACCCCCTGGATGCAACCAAAAATGGAAACTTGATCGGCAAAACATGCTTGTCCGTATTTGGGCTCTTTAATGGAGTCATAGCTCTTCCAAGTCCAACGTCTCCCAGACAGACAAACAACAGACAGCTGTCAAAGAATTTTGAGCGAGTAATGAGACAGTAAGAGTGAATGAGCTATGAGCATCTATAAAAAAGAATGGCAGTAACTAAATCAAGGGGAAGCGAATCGAGGAGGAATGGGAGGTATCCAGCGAAGATGTGCCATTTCTCTTGAGACACAACGAAGGGGAAAGAGGTTAAGAGAATCGAAGAGACGAGAAGGGACAACACTCTTACTTATCAGAAACCCATTCCTTCCTCTTTCATTGAAGGTGACTAAGTTGAGAGAACGTAATGTCGTCTACACTAAAAGGAAGGAAGAAACGACCGAGCACGATTAATATGAAGAAGGGCGGAACGAACTAAAATCATGGCGAACGAAAACTAAAAGGATGAAAAGATGAAAATTGAGAGCGCTTGAAGGGTGGTACTCAAATCAATTACTGGAACATAAACAGGAGACGATCCAGGTGAAGGCCTCTTGTCAATGCACCCAAAAGATTGAGGATAAACGGCTTGTGCAACTTGCCAAAAAAAAAAAAAAAAAAAAAAAAAAAAGGCGAAAGTCTTTCAGTAGGACACCCTATCCATCCTCGAATTGAATGTTCTGAATTTCTCATTGCGATGAAGAAATGAATGATCTTTGGAAGATTCGTGTTTATATGTATACACAAATACCATATGATCACCACATATAGTGCGAACAGACTACACATTTGCCGTATCTGCAATGGGCGCGTAGACTTTTTTGTCCCGCGAATGTTTGTTTTCTCATACCGAGAACAGCTGGTGCTTTTTAGCTTGCTAGACTCTCTTGGACCAAGCTCTATTAATAGGCGTAAAGTCTATTCTATACACGTGTAAGGGGCGCTTTTTTTTTCTTTAATAACAAGGACCCAAGAGGTCATGTAGGATTTATTTAGACGTTGGCTCCATGAGGTTGCTCAATTCTGTTCCATATTTTCCCTTGACAACCGCGGCTCCAAGGTTGTGAGTATTTATTAGTATCAGATCCTTAATTTCATTTTCATTTTTGACATTTATTACTTTTATTCTTTTCTGTCAGTCTGTCAGGTCACGTCCACAATGTCGTGAATTAATAACTGACCTTATTCACTCACCCGATCCCTAAATTGCTTTTCTTTTAGAAACTGAATTGTGCATGCAACATGGCTCTTGCACCTCGAAATTTTATAATGATAATGTGTCTTGAACAGCACTACAAAACAGCTATCCGTAAATAAAGCGATGTCTAATAACCGGTCGTCGTACTGCCACAATGCAGCACTCTATTCATAAACCACGTCAGCATTGAGTAGCCTTCCTTGGTGCACTTGTGACACGGTTCTACTCCTTACTTGACCTGTTGTGTGCAAAGGCCACCCTTCAGCCGCAGTCCTCAATCACAACTTTCCAGGTGCTCCATCACAGCCAACTCCACCTGTTGTCGGTAGCTTGCCGCTAGCCGTCGATCTGCACCAGTTCTGATCGCCTTCATGCCTACTATTCATCGCTATCCCTGGTGAGATCAAAAGAATTCACCTCTGCTACGTCTGTGCCTTCCAACTTAGTTACGTCCCCTGGCGCGTTTGCTTACAGAAGTGTTGTATATGTATACGATCCTTGCACTAATTTTTTTTATTCTAGTAATGCTTCTGGCATTTTTAGCCATTAAGGATCTCTCTCTATCGTATCTCTATCGTACATAATACTAACGTAGATGGCGAGGATTAATGTCTGTTCGCCTAGCATTCGGCCGTTCTTTCAGGGTCGTTTTGCGGTATTTCGAGAGGTTCATCACCTTTAGATGATAAAGCGGGCCCTATCGTTCGACTTCCTGCTTCGAGGTATTGGCACAAATTTAAGTAAACTTGCTCCTCCGTCGAGAATTGAGCCGTCAACCTTCAGTTGTTAGTCTGGAAGCTTTGCGGCTACGTCAAGGACTTTTTTGATAACAAGAGCCTTCAAGGTCATGGGATCGAGGGTTCGCACACCCAATATCACTGCACTTATTACTACTATAAGCCGTGCTTTTATAGAATGTCAATAGAAATATAATGTTCATAACACAGCAGTATATCTGTAACAGGTTTTTCAGAACGTAAGGCGCCTGGTCGCGTTACGGGCGCGAGCAGCGCGAGCAGACTGGATAGGCGAACCTAAAACCCAGAAAGTCGCCTTCTGCGGGGCTAGTGGAGTGTGTAAGAGATGATAGGAAAGGAAAAAAGATAGAGAACTAATCAACAAAAATAATCAACCAAAATTTTAGTGGAATGGGAGCTTTGGTAGGATAGAGTGATAATTTGCGTTCAGGCCTTGAGTGAGCTGGTCCGAGTTCTTCTCAGTTTCTTTCCCCTGGGTTCTTGAGTTTCTTCCTGAGCCGTAGTTCGATCAATTTCAAGTCTGGGATCTTTGTTCTTGGGTTAAGCATTTGTTGAGAGAATTTCGGATCTTCCTCGGTCACCTTTATATACTGAATTTTTGAAGAAGTGGGAATTGATGGGAGATTTTGCTAGACTAAGTTTTCTATGAACGATGATGGGCTTGTATCACTAGGATCGGTTCTTTTTCTCTACTTTTCCCTCCTGTACTCTTCTTTACCAGTTCTTGCCATCTTCGTCATTGACGTTTGTGCAGGTGGTTTTGATTGGCCTTGTGGATGTGCTTCTCTTGGTCGTTCAATTAGAAGTAAGCCCCTGGCTCTTGCACAACCGTGCTAACCTACCGGAATGCTGTAGGGTGTATCTAGGTGATAGCGCGTAAACAAGCGAGGGGGTTCTGGGCGACTGGAGCATGGGCAAAATGTAGCCTAGTCAATGACGCCATTCCTTCAGAGATAAAATCTCTGATAGGCTGTGTCTAACGACCTTGCTTGCTAGTATCCTCTTGATTTCATCCTGAGCCTGAGCTCGGTATGCGGCGGGGGTCCTATAGAGTGGTATGTGGCTTGGCTCTTAATCGTTTGTTTTGATATGGTGAATGGAAGATGTCCTTCTGTTTACGTCCAGATCAGCGATGGAATCCGCAAATAAATGTTCGTATTTCTTCAATAGGCGGTCGATGGATTTCTGTTCGTCTTCGGTCGTCTCGATTGTCATAATGTGATCTTCGTTTCCTCTACCTTTGGCCTGTAAATACGCCATTTTATGTCTTCCGTCGCGCGTGTGGTTTTTCTCTAGGTCTACTACAATCCGATGTTGCTTGAGCCAATTCATCCCGAAAATCAGCAGATCTCCCGATCTATTATAAACAACCGCGTATGCCATAGATGATATCTTAATGGGAACGTGACCAATGGCTCTACCTACTCCGTGTCGTTTCCTGTCGGTGGTGACCAGATCTTGGTTGTGGTTGGAATTATCATAGAGGTTAAATTTGGTGGCAGTGACATTGGAAATTACACTACAGACGGCTCCAGTGTCCACAATAGCCAGCATGGGTTTTCTATTGATCTCGACTTTGACTCTCAGGAGCAGAATACCCCGGGTTGGGTGAATGAATCTCTGGAGATGTCCTCAACATGGTGGTTTTGCTCGATTAATCCTTCTTCTTTCATGGTTCGTTCGATTGCTTATACTTCAAATCCTCTTGTTCTTCGTGTGTCCTTTGAATAAATTAATACAGTCATGCCTCAGGCTGGGGACATAATAGAATAAGTGTGTCAGCGTGATTGGGATAGTAGTTTGATGTAGGATTTCACGTACATTCAATTCCTGTAATACATGGTTCAAGGCGATCGGAAAGAGTCTCCTGGCTTCAATCCTGACGTCGTTGGCTTTGAGAGGGGTTTCCACGTGGCGGGGTGGAGACGGTGGTGGGGATAAACCAGGTCCAGAGATGGTGATGACACTGAGGGCTCATAGATACCTTCTCTCGAGGTGGACGTCGGGTGCGGGGTTTGTTGTCGCCTGCGGGGTGAGTCGATGGGCATTGCAATGGTCCTTCTGAGTTCTTTCAGGGCTTGGTCTAACTGCCGTAACCTGTTCCTACCTTTCTCTTTGTCATTGGGTCTGGCATAGGGGCTATTATGATGGTTAGTCTGTCCTCGGGCGACGGCATACACTTCGTCTTCTTCGTCATGGCTGTTCCCCTCATCCGCTCCGTCTAGGTAGTGTGTTTCTACTGGTGGGTTACGTCCTAGTGGGTTTATACTCTCGGTAGCTCTATGCCAGGTGTCTGTTTTCTCGCTAAGGCATTCATAGGAGCGATGACCCGGCTCTCCACACGTAAAGCACCTACCCTCTCGCCTGTAACGGTTTCGTTCTTCATCTAGGCACGCGTCGCGCCGGGGTTGGGTGTTCCGTTGTTGATTCTGTATCATCTCGTTCATGGTCCGTACCGTTTCCAGACGATTAATGGACAATCCATTGATCCATTGGGAGATTCTCTCAATCTGGTTTTCTTCATTCTTCAACACTGTTGGATATCGATACCTCCCAGGGGCTACGGTGGAGCGAGCCTGTTCGTACTTACGTGTGACTTCACACATCTCCTTATAAGTCCCTGGCAAGGAATGGTGGTTTGGGACGAACATGGAGGTTTCCTCCCTTAGAGCTCGGATAAAGTCATTTTCTTCTGTGCATTTTCATTGATGTAAGCGGAAACGAATAGCCAGTTCAGGGCTAATATCAATCCGTCTGCTGTTTCATCGTCTTTTTGATGGTAGGTGGCGAGGGCACTACAAGCGTCAGCCTGCTTCATGGGGTGTTGTATCGCTTTTTAAAACCGACTTTGAAATCGTCATAGGTTTCCCAATGTTTCAAGTTTTCTTCGTACCAACTCAGCACACTTCCTTCGAGGTAGGTTCTAAAGGCATCGAGCTTGGCTCAACTCTGTTAGTTGTATCCCTGGCAATTCGTTTAAACTGGTGAGGGTCATCGCCCGGATAAAAGAGTTTCGGTTGCGCAAGATTACCCTCTCTACGGTGAGTTAAGGTAGGTGCTGGTCGATGCAAGTGCGCTTCAAGGGCGGAAGGCTCGATTACAATGGGTCGACGCGGGAGGATGAAGCAATATCCTCGTCGTTTTAATCATGTTGAAGTAAAAAAATTGTTTGTTTCCTTTTTTTGTCAATTTTGTGCAACCAAAATAACTTCGCTATCAAAAAAAAGGAATAGCGCAGAAGGGAAAGAGTAGACAGAGAACCGATCGTAATGATACGAATTCCAACGCCTATCATCACTCATAGAGGACTTAGTCTAGCAAAATTTCCATTCTGTATATAAAGATAACCGAGGAAGAACCAAAATCCTCTCAGCTTTTTTTTTTTTTTTTTTTTTTTTGATAACAAGGACCCTCTGGGCCATGAACCGAACAAGAACCTCCAGGGTCATGGGATCTATTTTCTGCACTCTATGAACAAAATGTTCTAGAAACTATAGCCAATAAATAGCTATTACTGCATAAACGGCAAGAGCCGCTGTATCCATAAACCATGAGGGTTGGATGATACTTAGAGGAAAAGGCACAAGATTATTTTTTTTTTAATAACTAGGACCCACGAGGTCGTGAGGATTTATTAGAAATAGGCTTTATAAATGGATTGCACTATTACTAGGGACGCAAATAAAGCGGTTTCCAATAATCGGTCTTAACCGCATTGTTGAACTCTCACTGTACAACATCCTATTCACAAACCACGTCAGCATGAGTGGTAACTCCTGATCCCTACGGAACCTGTGACGAGCCCTGCTCCTTACTTGGCCTGTTGTACACAAAAGTCATCTTCTAGCCGCAGTCCTCAATCATCAAAAAACGACCCTCCCAGCCTTTCCATTACTGTTAGTTCTTATTGTTACCGAAGGAGGAAAAGGCACTTTTTTTTTTTTTTTTTTTTTTTTCGTGTTAACAAGAACCCGCAGAGGTGAGGAATTTCATAATCTCACTCTAAATCAATTCTTATGAAACGAGCGAAACTCTCAAATTCGCATGGAATGGCTGTGAAGAGCCAATTCGTATCCATGATTTCTCCACCAATGTACACCGTGATCGGTACTCGAAGTCCATCTTTCCGATGTGGCCTGCTGCGCCCATGAAAAGCTGCGGAGGCTGGCGTACCGACACTAGCTAAGGACGACTTTAATTTTTTTTTATTCGATCAAATCCACTGGCATGTGGACCCAAATCTTGCGGGATTGGTCTGAAATTTCTACTTTGGACTCCGTCAAACTTTGTGATCATCGCTGTCCTAGTCAAGTGGATGGATGGGGATGTGCTGCCAGATGTACCGCTGGTTCGGCTGGGGGGTGGAATATATACCTAAGACATGTGGCCAGCCAGGCGACTTAGGGTAGTGCACCCACGATCTTAGCCTTAGCGGAGAACACTAGGCTTTTTTTTTTTTTTTTTTTTTCCTGTTAACAAGAACCCACAGAGGTGAGGAATTTTATTTCATAATCTCGCTCTAAAGTAATGATATCGCCCTCAACTATGAAACAAGCGAAACTCTCAAAGTTCGCACGGGATGGCTGTGAAGAGCCAATTCGTATCCATGTTTTTCTCTACCAATGTACACCGTGATCGGTACTCGAAGTCCATCCTTCCGATGTGGCCTGTTGCGCCCGTGAAAAGCTGCGGAGGCTGGCGTGCCGACTCTAGCTAAGGACGACTTTTAATTTTTTCTATTCGATCAAATCCACTGGCATGTGGACCCAAATCTTGCGGAATTGGTCTGAAATTTCTATTTTGGACTCCGTCAAACTTTGTGATCATCGCTGTCCTAGTCAAGTGGGTGGATGGGGGGATGTGCTGCCAGATGTACCGCTGGTTCGGCTGGGGGGTGGAATATATACCTAAGACATGTGGCCAGCCAGGCGACTTAGGGTAGTGCACCCACGATCTTAGCCTTAGCGGAGAACACTAGGCTGTCTCGGAGAGAAAGTATAAAAACTCAAGCAAATCCCTGACCTGGCACATGTTTGCTTCACTTTATGTGCCTTAACCAGGACTCGAACCCGGCCCCTGGGCTAGACAGGGGGGTGCCCTGACGAGTATACTACTCAGCCATTGGGCTTGCGGAGAACACTAGGCTGTCTCGGAGAGAAAGTATAAAAACTCAAGCAAATCCCTGACCTGGCACATGTTTGCTTCACTTTTTGTGCCTTAACCAGGACTCGAACCCGGCCCCTGGGCTAGACAGGGGGGTGCCCTGACGAGTATACTACTCAGCCATTGGGCTTAGACCTTTATCTTGGTACAACACTTCAGTGTGTCCTATGTATTTGCGTCTCGTTGCGGTTTTTAAGGGCATCTCAGTATAACCCCCGGTTCTTAAGACAGTGATTTTTTCACAAAAGCAAAGAGCTTCCTAATTGGTCCAGTGGTCAGGATTCCTCGCTTTCACCGAGGCGGCCCGGGTTCGAACCCCGGATTGGGAACTTCATTTCTTTTTACATAACGATAAGGATGAAGTTACTTCCATGGGAGTGTTTTGTTTGGATTAATCTATAATGGATTATGATGCCAAATCCAGTCCTTTTTCCATTTAAGGGTATTATGTTTCATGTCTGTACGTACAAGACATGTGTCCGTTTTGTGGCTTTTACTCCGACACTTGTCCTGAAATTTGAATTGACATCAAATCCATCGAAATTTTAACAATGTCATCATGGCATGCTAAAGATCTCTTTCTTTCTTCTTTATTTCACGCCTTCATTCCTCCATACATTCATATACACAATAAAACAATAAAACCTACAATACACAGAGTAGACTTACCCTCTCCCCTGACTAAAACTGAGAAAAATAACGGCACATTCGCATTTTCAAAGGTTCATTCCTGCTTGCTCACTTTCAAAATGACAAACAACAACGAAAAGATTTTATCCAATTTCACCTGCATGGATTTGGAACAAAGCACCAGTCTGACGAAGCCAACCAATTCAAGTACTCGCACTGGATCCACTCGTGCAACACCGAGGAGAAAAAGAGTTATTCTGACTGACGAAACGACTCCAGAGCCTTCACCAGTGGCACAGACTGCTAGAGTTAGTGCAAAGTCTTTTAAGCGCCCTAGGCGTTGTGAGGCTGATTCTTTATCCTCAAATGTCCTTCACTCCGGTCCATTGACAGAAGAAGAGCTGGCCCTGGCGAACGCACGGAAGGAGTCGGCGAGAAGTGTGCTGCAGATGATTTTAGATGATCCAGATTCATCGACGACAGTGAATCAATATAAGACACAGCTCCGGCTGTGGGAGGTATGTTGGATCATCAAAATGTCGCTATGAGCTATCTCAGACAGGCTATCAAACTAGACGACTTGGCTAATTCTCTTTTTTGTTTTTAGCAATACTGCAATGAAAATTATCAAGGTGACTGTAGCGTCGATGCGAAACGCATGCTTGAATACTTCACAACGGTTGTCTTCAAGCGAACAGTAAAGCGATTGATCGGCACAGATCGTTGCTACCGTGGCGCTATTGGGTATGCCCAGCAGGGTGGAGGAGATTCTTCGAATTCTCAGGCTGGGGAAGACGCAGTCTATGAGGGAGAAGAGATCGACGAATTAGTCGAGGCAGATATCGACGAACATGAACTAAGCGACATGGAGCAGAGACTGGAGACATTAGATAACAGCGAGCAAGTTGATGACGACGACGGCCAAAGCATAGACCAAGGTCAACAACAGGGACAGGGTCAGAGACAGGGTCAGGAACAGGGTCAGGAACAGGATCAGGAACGGAGACAGGGTCAGGGGCAGGGACAGGAACAAGGACAGGAACAGGAACAGGAACAGGAACAAGGACAGGAACAGGAACAAGGACAGGAACAGGAACAGGATGAAGATCTGGAGCTTCAGCTGAGGTCATTGGCACAGAGAGGTAAGAAGGCTCCTCCCTCCTGGGATAATATGGAGCCACCTGAAGGAGTCGACCCACATCAATGGCAGATTGATATAGCATTGAATGATGAGGAGCGAGCATCACATGAAGCTGTAACTGTTGGGGGTTCAAGCAAGAACATCACGCCGAAGCGGAAGACTGCAGCCGTTATCAGGACTGAAAATGAAAGAGAACAAGGTATGTAAAGATAACCATGTATTAATATATAAATTGTTATACAGTACTGGGATCCAAACCTTTGGGAAGGCTCCGCCATCACGCGTACCCCAGGTGACAAGACACCATGGCCGCAACTCAGTGTTAATTATCAATATAAATAGCCTACTAAATTATGACTTAATAAACCATTCCTTAATCCTGCATCCACCTTAATGTATCTTTGATTGTTACAATTTACACTAATGGTTGATACTTTTTATTATATATACAATTTTTTTTTTTTTTTTTTTTTTTGGATATACTTTTGCGTTTGTAGTTATCCTGCAAGCACCAGAGGACAAACATGGCAGCAAAATTGTCTTTGTTCCTCTCACGCTGGGGACAGTCGCAAATGTTAAGAAGGCTTTGCAATACTTATGGAGGCAACAGTCTTCTTCGACAGCTCCGTATCCCAATCCCGCCCCAAACCCAAGAACGGATGTACCACTAGCGGAGGCGATCAAAAATTATGGAGAGAAACTTGTCCATCACAAAGT